CTTCTTTCGAACAACTACAATCAAATCCAATAAAAGTTGCATAACTTTTGATAGAATAATAGCATACAAAAATCCAATGTAAAACTTTTCAATCAAATTGAATAATAATAAAATATCTTACCATTGGCAATTTGGGAATTACGGAACATGTAAAACTGTCGAAAATACTTTCATTTCTTCCCAGTTTCGCAGACAGGCTTACTTTACATCGGGCACTGTACCTTTAGCGCGATTAATCCGTGTATTCGTCGTCGATAAAACGAACGTCGCGTCACACTTGCTGCGACGTAATCAGATCGGTTTTACTAGAATTTTTAAGAATTGATGGTCCAGGGAGTTTCTGAGCAGTGGCGATGGTCGGTTGCACCATCATCGGTTGACCGTTCACCAAAACGATTGTGTCTCGCACCGAATCATATGCTCCCGGGGGTCCTTCAAGACATTCGAAAAAATATTACAATTACACGTTCATAATTTTTGCTATTCAAGATAATAAAAAATCCTTATACCTGACGAAAGTGTATGCGTCAAAGTTCTGGAGGGTGTCAAATTCCGCGAGGCCGGGCCCCAATTAGACGTCGGTTGCAATAATATTTTTATGCGGCTCCATATACTTTTATCCTTGCTCTTGCTCTTTTGCCTTCCTGTTCCTCGACAAGGCCCGTTACTGTCAAATTCGTCGTCCTCGTCGTCATCGTCCTCGTCGTCATCATCGTAAGGTGATCGTCGACGTCGTCCTCTCAGCTGATCCTAAATTATCTTTCGTATAAATTGCAATAGATAAAGGTGCTTAGATAAGAAAGGCGTCGCGACTTACTATGGCTAGTCCGACAATGACTAAAACGGGAAGTATACTGATCACCCAGCCCAACACGTCCGCCCACATGGGATAAATGTAAGTACCGTACTTGGGCGGCTCATGCTTCACCCAATTAAAAAAGAGGATGAACAGCAGCGCAGCGGGCGTAATGACTTTCCACATCCACGTCCAGAAGAATCTCCACAAACGACTACGGGGCCCGATCATCTGCTGAACGTCGTCGAGAAAGCGATCGGCGCCGTACACCCATGCCACAAGAATACATTCACTTATAGCGATCAGCAAAACGGACCAGTTGGCTGCATACTTGTCCATTAGTTGCAGCCAATACATACCGGCCTATGAAAGAAAAAAACAATTATCAAGATAATATAAAATTAAAAGAAATTGTTTTGCGAACGATAATGTCAGTGGACAAAACTCACGTTAGTGGTGAAAATAATGCCACCGGCGTAGCCGACCACTGCAGCTCCCAGAACAACCCAAGTCTTGTAATTTCTCAATGCGGGAACACCGTCGAGTATCGCCGTAGTAACAGTCTCCATAAGTGCAAATTGCGAATCGAGACCCAAAGTGAGTAACATGATGAAAAATAATAACGACCAGACGGGCGCGACCGGCAGACGAGCTACAACCTACGAATAATCGCACAAAAAATGTTCGTTCATTGTAAAATATATATTCAAACTTCGATATAAAGTACTTTTTTAGTATTTAAATGAATGATATTAATTAAGTGTAATTATTAATTCTTTAATAATAATTACTAATTAAATATTAATAGTAATTACCTCCGGATAAACAATAAATGCCAAACCGGCGCCTTCATCCACCACAGACGCCACCGGCACGTCGAGTTCATGAGCAAGGAAACCGATTACTGAGAAAATCACTAAGCCGGCGAAGAAGGAAGTGCCGATGTTGCTGATCGCCACGATTAAAGAATCTTTGTAACAATTATTGGTGAACTTGTTGTACGAACTCAAAGTGATTAGACCTCCCCAAGCCGGGCTCAGAGCAAAGAAGATCTGTACCGCGGCATCTCCCCATACTTTGGCGGACATCAGTCTTTTCCAATTGGGAGTGAGATAGAAAAGCACACCTTCGTTAGCACCAGGAAGTAAAATTCCACGAATAAAAAGAATAATCTACAAAAAAAATACAATTATCAAGAAAGAACACGTCAAATTTCTATTAATTACATTATCGACGCACCAAAACGACGTATGGAAAAAGAGCGGTGAAATACACGACTTTGCCTGAGCTTTGAACACCTTTGCTCAGACAAAGAAACACGATGATCCACGCCAGGAAGAGACTAGCTGCCATGGACAGTCGAATCGATCCAGTTTCCTCGATGCCGCTGCTAATCCCCAAAACGTAATTGCTAAACATAAAAAAGAGTCTTCTCTCTACATCTTTTATTTCTCTATATTATTATTTTTTAATATGAGAGGCTGAGATTGCGCGATTTAATTTTACGAATTGTTTTATTTTTAAGATTGCAGTTTTAACTTTTCTTTCATTAATAACTACGCAGTTAAAAAAATACGATAATTTATTCGGTGTATGTTATTACTTGAAGTACTCCTCTGCCGGCGGTTTCTTAATAGCGCTGGTTATGTTCTCAATCATCAGCCCCATCGCAGTCATTTGACTTGAATTGAGGCATTTTCCTTTGAAGTAGGAACCGTTTTGAGAATGACAAGCCTCGGCGTCGTCTGGCATAAAGCAATTCTCGGTACTCCACTCTTTCTCGCATTTGCTCCAAGGCAGCTCCCAACCACCTGCGCGAAAACTTTAAATAAATTGTCGGGAAAGAGCGATCCCATTAAAAGGCAGATTCGTTCTCGGAAAATTCGTCACGAGTCGCAAGTTACATATAGAATACCCAGTATATTAATCTCATTATTTACCAACGACCGAGGCAAACATGTAATACAGCGTCCAGGCAATAATTAAATTATAATAGAGCATGACAACGGAACTGACGAGAACCATTCCGTATCCCAAGCCGCAAAGCAAAGGACAGAACTGCTTGTAAGCCGCCACTGGTCCAAGGCTGGCGTATTGTCCTACAGGATAAAGAAATATCAAGATCGTGGATAATCCGGATATTAACGGATCTCAAGGTGTTTCATTGTTCTGCTCATCACCTAAGGAAAGCTCCATAAACATAAGCGGTAATCCGGCGATAATGAGCATCACGGTGAACGGTATCAGGAAAGCACCTCCACCGTTTGAGTAACAAAGATACGGAAATCTCCAAACATTTCCGAGGCCTACGCTGTATCCCAGAAGGGACAGCAGAAAATCAAATTTTCCCGTCCAGGTTCCGCGTTCCGGGTGTTCGTCTTCGCCGTCCTGCAAGGGCGCTTGACTATTCGCTACTGAGTATTTGTCGTCATTCTATCAAAAGATTAACGTTAATATCTTCTTTTTTAATAACGTTTTTATTATATTTTTAAGAACTTTTTAAATCGCTTACATCCCAGTCCAGATAAGGACGAATTCTTGAGGATGCTTCTTCCATTCTCTGTATCGATATAATCTCGATATCAATCGCTTCTTCATTTTCTCATGGCTACCGAATCGAATCCATCGACATTCAAAGTTAATTAAATCTCTTTAGTGGAGCGGACTTTCTACGCATCTTCATTTCTTTCTGTATTTCTTCTCGAATATCCTGTATAAAAATTTTCCTATTGGATACTACTTCATCGAGTATTTTTTATCAAACACAATTGTTCTTTTTTTTATCAAACAGAATGTAAAATGCAAGAAAATTTTCTTGCGAATGAAACACTTTCGTCTCAATTTTTCGTCGTCTGTGTGACGAAATTTACTATAGCTCGTTAAACAATAATTCTTCGAGTATATTGTTATTGAGTTAACACTAAATATTAATAGATACACACTCATGCAATTACGCAATTGATTACACTTGCATTTTCTAATCTAATTGCATCTAATCTTTTTACACGATCAGAATAAAATTAACACATAGATTGATATTAAATTATTTCTTCGTCTTATTTTTCAAAGAAAATTATGCAAGTTGTTTTGAAAATATACATTTTAGAATAGTTGAAATATACTTCTAAATATTAATAGTTATATTGATATTATAAGCTAACAGACTTTGATCTAATAATAATTATTATTTAGCGTATATGCAAATATCGATTATCAATTTATTAAGCTAAAAGTAGATTTTACTAAAATCAAATTTACTTTTTCTTTATTTTGATTTAAAAAACGCTTAACTAAACACGCACTAACACAGTATGTAATTATGTAGTGTAATGTATCATATATAATGAGTTTTACGAAATTAATGTGATAACGAACGCGGATTGAATGACATTTACAAGCCAGCTATGAATAATAAGTTTTAATCCAAAATATCACTCACCGCGTTTGCGTTACATAAAATTACACACGTTCATATATGCGTTTAAGCGTGTTGGAGCATAGAGTCGCCGGTAGGTCAGCTGATAACCGACACCATCGACCTATCTACCAGCAGCCTTGACGGAGGATCTTGCCCAAGGTCAGACTCGCACTGTCACTGAATTTCAAGGCCACGCTCGCCGCAATCTGCGAGAAGAGAACGGAAGCTCAAAAGTGGAAACAGGAAGGAAAAAAACGGAAGAAGGGAAAAAGAGAAGACCGGTGGCGGAATGAACAGCGGCAGGATCGTCGATTGAACAGCGCGGGAGAGCGATCCGTGCCCGGGCAGCTGGCCGGCTGATCTGGCTGCTTTATAGGGGAGCTTTTCCACTTGCGGCTCACCCTCTCTTTCTCTCTCTCCTCGGAGCCTGAGCCTGTTCGATGCTCCCGCTCTCCTGTTCACTCTCGCCCCCGCACCCGGAACGGGACCTGTCGGGCTTCCGACTCCACGGATCGATCGATATTACTGCTCCTGCGAGCTGTGTTCTGCCCTAAAACCTTCATCCTCTCGCTCACTTCGGTCACTCTCTCTCGGTGCCTCGTATCACCATTTACTCCGGCCGTTCCATTGGCCAGGTTCACCCTCGACGCGCGTGTGCTCGCTTATGAAGAGATACGTGAGGTTCAAAGGTGAAAGCAGGATCGATCCATTTGATATCACTCGTAACATGCGTTTCGATGACTAAGCACCGTTTTATCGTCTAAAACGACTGCACATTTAAATCGCAAATTTTCAATTAACAACAAACATCACAAAAGAAGAAATCAAGAATTTTTCTCTATTTGAAAATTAATCTCTTGTTTAGAAATTTTTAACGAATTTAAAATCTCTATATTAAAATGAAATAGAACATGTGTCTTTCACATCGGAATCATGAAAAGGTTTTACACAAAGATAATCTCGCAGCATTTTCTTTCGGAGTACTCTTTAGATATCATTAAAAGTGCTAAAGTAGTCTTAACTTAATAATCTTAACAAAAAGTCTTTCTTTGAGATAAATCTTTATTTTTATATTCAAAATTACTTTAAGTTAATCACTAATCACTGATTGCATATAAGATTGCGATTGTTTGCACAAATTTTGTCCTGTTACGGAATAATAAAGTATATGCCAATACAAAAAACAATCGCTTTTCATTTAATCTTGCATGCTCATGTCGAATACTATTATATAATTTACACAATTAACTTTGACTTTTCACAGGAAGTTGTCGATGCATCCTCTCATCGATTTCCAGTGAGTAATTATCACTCTCATTCATAGAAACCGCTGTTCTCTTTGCACAATGCTCAATAATCTTCAATGTGCAAATTGATTCTCTTACAATTCATCTCTTTCATTCGCATATCCCTTATTTCTACAAATACAGTTTTATCCTTAAAATGCTTTGATGACTGCTAATTTTACACCAAAAGAAAAAAACATAATTGATGATTTAAATATCACGCCAATTGAATAAATCTCGTATATCATACATTCAATAAAACTTATTAGTCAATAATTTCAATGATATAATGTAAAATTTATTGTTGCATCAACGTGTAGTTCGTTTAATTAACTTAATATTTGTTTAAACAAATATGTTCTGTAGTTGTCGTTTTCGCGAACAATGTTTTTTTATGAAGATTCCAAATGTGATGAAAACTCCTAAAAGGTCTCCATGGATCAATGGTGGCAGAGACGATCAGATATAACAACGAAAGCACTCGTGCGAATCTTGTATATACAATATTACGCCGCAATCATTGGCAACAGTTACAATCAAGCATCCTCAAACAAAAACGAATTGCTTAACAATAATTTGTTAAAAATTATGTGTTTTAATCCACTAAAAGTGTTTATGCTTTAGAATGTCAGAACAAAATGTTGATGAAGAATAAGAATAATGATCGTTGAATGAATGGGAACTTTTCTTTAATGAGTGAGAATTATTAAGAAAAAAGAAATATAGAATTGTTTCAATTAAAATAAACAGATGTAGAAAGTGTATTTGAGAAGAACAAACTTCCAATATATTAACATCATTAATGCAATTATTTAAAAAAACAGTGATTTTGTCGATGTTTTTACGAATCACTGATGCGAAAATTTGTGCCGCCAGAATTATGATGTGAATATCGATATATCGATAATCTGACCTATTGCGATATCGCGACTATTGGTAACTCGTTCCAATCGATCCATCGTACCAATCGATCGAAAGTCGTCACTGCGATCACTCGTGGACTGTTGGTGCTGATTGCAAACGGTAGACGTCAGTAGGCACAGAAAGCAAAAAAGACAGTAGTGATTCTTTCCTCGTGTGAAATCTCTTGTCCCACAAGCCGATCACATTACGAGTCGCTCCGATTCTCACGTAAACTGCGCGATTCGCGAATCATTGTTCTTCCCTAACCTCCAAAACGTTCGGATTCTCGAGTTCGGCACGAAGACATCCCCTTCGCAAGGACGAATCGTCACGGGCTCTCATTTTCTCGCTCATTTACTTCGTAGTTCCATCTATATCTGTCCTCCCGGTTCCCTCCGTGTGTGCTCGCTCCCATTTTCATTTCCTTACGTTTCCCTATTGCGTTCAAAACTCTGTCTCTATCCTCCGTTTTTGCGACGTGCGAAAAGTGTGACGCTGAGAAGAGACCCGATCGTTTGAACACGCGACATTTAAAGGGGGGCACCGTGCAGCGGCACGGAAATACGTGAGAATTCGAAATAGTGCTGAGTTGGACGCAGCAATCCTTTGGCAAGGATTACTGTTGTGTGAAGTGTTGTGACGAGCGCGGTGGCACGGCTCAGCTTCCCGTCACGATCACCGAGCGAACAGGCAAAATTTTGACGATTTACGGTCTATGAGCGCCAAGAGCCAGGGGGACCCTGGAGAAGATCACGTTTCCAGGTGTTACAAGAGTCGCTGCATCGCTTTAGTGTCGCTCGCAAAACGATCGCTTTTCACGCGAAATATGTGTTAATGCACGTTGACAGAAAACTTTGTTGAAAAGTCGTGCGACAACAAACGTTCGGTTCTCCGCGTTAAACAGCGATAATTCGCGCACGATCAAGATTGAATCGCCGATGGATACGCGATAATTTCGCTCTTGATGTTAAAATCTACGATCGGTGAATTAAAATCGCGCGGAGAGGTTTTTTTTTACTATCCGTCTTAGCGCGATATATCTTTCTGTCTTTCTTTTTCTCTCTCTCTCTCTCTCTCTTTCTTTTTCCCTCTCTTCTCACTTCGCTTCTCTCTTCTTTTTCTGTCTTTCCCCTTCTTCTAATTATTCTTACTTGATCACAGAGATTTGTTTATAACACTGTAGTGTTTTACCTTCCTCATAAGATTTCGAAATCGCGAAGCTATCTATTATTAGCGTTTTGTTTTGGTGCAACGACACTATCGGACTTGGCAGATTATATGATAATCTCAGCAAATCTTTTTGCCGTTTAACACTTTTCGTGCTGCATCGATCAAAAAGATTCAAATTACCTTTTGTTTTCCACAAATACTTTACTTCTTTACTTAATGAAATTTGCATAATATTTTATTATAATTTAATATTCGTTTTCTAATTACTTTTGTAACAATATATTTTTGAAACTTTATAATAAATAAAAAGTTCAACTTTTTACAAGAAATATATCAAGCTTCTGGTTTTTAATTTTCAGAAAAAGTACAACTTTCTGCAATTCTGAGCAAACTTTTTTGTAATTTTTTTGCTTTCGAAATTTTGCAATAGGAAATAAATATACGTATCTATTTTATACATATTTTATATCTTACTGTTATCTTTGTAGGGTAGGAGCAGAGAGCCCTTGCAGCGACATGAAGCGTGCAGCTGCAAAAAAGCTCATTGAACGATACTTTTATCAACTTACTGATGGATGTGGAAATCCTCACTGTGACAATCAGCATTGTGCCTCGAGTGGCAAAGTATGATTTCAAAGTTGTTTAGTTCAAGTAACAATAAGAATTAAGTAATATTCTAATCATTTTATCTGTTTTCACACTAGGTTACTAATCTTACTCCAAATCAAGCAGCTGCTCAAGCAATCCAATTATTCTCACAAGAAGCAAGACTTTGTGATGGCACACAACCCAGCAAAGTTGCCCGGACTACTATAGAGCCAGGACAAACATCATTAGCTAAGAGTTTACCTGTAAAAAATGTTAATTCTACAAGCTCCGATGAAGGTATTTAATTGATTGAATAAAATTTCAATTCTTGAATCAAAAGCAATTTTTATAATTTATAGAAATATACATTTGTGGATAAATATATAACAAAAATATCATTTGCGGATAAAATAAAGAAATGTTAGCGGTAAAAGGCTACAGTTAAATTATTTAATGTAATGTATTCATTAAAATGTTAATTTTAGTTCATTTTGGTTCAAGAGTTAAATTATAAATTATACGACATTTCCCACATTATATATGGGAAAATAAATGATCGATTATACAAGATGCAAGTAAATTTAATACATTTTATTTTTTTATTAGGAAAACAAGAGCCATATCTTACAGAAGCTAAGCTTTTGGATATTATAGAAAAATGTAAAGCAGAAGGTTCATATTCGTTATTAATTCGTACTTTGGGAGAAGTATTTTCTTCCGGGAAAGCGTTAAGTCTCAGTTTTCAAAAAACTGAGAAAATTAATTCCCCTTTGACGGCGCTTCTTGAACGAGCACCAGATACCTTGTTGAGACCACCTGCGGATTTAAATAAGGAGGCGGTACGATCTCTCCAAGGGGAAGACAAAGAAGAGGATAGCAGTGATCCATCACCTACAGTTCCTAATAATGATGATACGAGTGTCGATCTACCATCAGTTCGCAGAGCTTTTGACGCACTTTGGTCTCTACCAGGTATGAAAAAATAGTACAATTTCATTGTATTAATTTGGAATTTAGAACAATTTGTTTATAATTATTACTTTAAATAAATAGTGTCAATAAATGTTTTTTTTTTAATTAGGTGACGTGTTTGAGTCAGCTCTGGTCAATGCGCTAGTCACTTTGGCAGATGACATAGAATTAGATCTGAGAGTATTCCGCATAGTACGTTGGGATAGTATGGATAGTTTGTTAAATGTATTTCTCATTGTCTTTGAAATTCCAATGTTGGGGAATAGTGAATATTTGGAATTGGCTCTCCATATGTTGTGCAAAGCGTTGAGTTGCCTGCCGGTAGTGGCGCAAGCCAAGTTAGCACGCGTATGGGCCAAACATTGTAAATCACGGCTTCCCAGTCTTCTGCAGGCGCTGCAAGAACTCATAACTGTCAAGGTGCGTTTCCCTGCTTTGTTAATACCACTAGTATTCCTTCCTTTTTTTAAACAACAATTGTATTACTCATCTTTTAATTGTGGAATAAAAATTTCAATATTGTATTATGTTACAGGTAATAGGAGGATCTTTCACACGTGACTATTGCGTCCAGGATGCAGATACTATTACTGCACCTACGAAAGTTATGAAAATTCTATACTATGCCAGTATGTTGGCTGGTGAATTGGATGCGCCTGAGCTGACGCTGGGCGAAGGGGCCGAATCAGCTGGCAGTGACAAAACTGCTTCACGATCAACAATATCAGGACAGATTCCTCAAGTATTATTTTTATCGATACTTTTAATTCGGTGTGTTTTTGTATTGTTCTTGATAAAAAAAAAACGATATACATTTCAGGATCCGTTAGCGACAGAATTAGGAATAACTGCGTTAGATGCACGCAAACCTTTCATACCATTCACTGATTTTTATAATGAACCGCTTAGCGATGCCATAGAGATGGACAAAGATTTTGCTTATTACAAGAGCGAAGAGCCAATGAAGTTTAGCTTTATGAATTATGCTTTTATTCTTACACCAGCCACTAAAACTTTGGGTTTGTATTACGATAATCGTATCAGAATGTATAGCGAACGACGTATGAGCTTTTTGCAGACCGTTGTCGGGCAACCTACTAATCCATATCTCAGATTAAAGGTTCGTTGGTCCAATGAAAATGAGATGATTTGTTCTAAAAAGCTATTACAAATTATATATTTTATTTTACAGGTGCGAAGAGATCACTTGATAGATGACGCATTAGTAGAATTGGAAATGGTAGCGATGGAAAATCCATCCGACTTGAAGAAGCAATTGGTCGTCGAATTTGAAGGAGAGCAAGGTGTGGACGAAGGCGGTGTATCTAAAGAATTCTTTCAATTAGTCATAGAAGAAATTTTTAATCCTGATTATGGCATGTTCACTACTCAGGTAAAGATTTCTTTTTCGCAATTAAATAAATTTAGAAAAAAATTTTTTTTTATTTTGTTCATTCTGCTTTTTAACTCAATATATGTAATGATTATAATTATTATTTAATTCTAAAACGTAATTTAATTCTAAAACATGGCTGCCTTTCATTTATTTTAGGAAGACACGCAAATGACATGGTTCAATCCCACATCGTTCGAGAGTGATGCGCAGTTCACGTTAATAGGCATTGTTCTTGGCTTAGCGATTTACAATAATGTAATTCTAGATGTACGTTTTCCAATGGTGGTTTATAGAAAATTGCTAGGTAGAAAGGGCGCTTTTGCGGATCTGGAGGACTGGAGTCCGACATTATATCGAACAATGAAAGAGTTAATGGAGTATACGGGAGACGACATGCCAGAGACATTTATGCAAACTTTCCGAGTTGGTTACAGGTATTTGTTTAATAAATTAACTATGCACGAGTCATCTCACTAGCTTTCTTTAAACTTTGATTAAACCTCTCATTATTTTTATGTTATATCTTTAATTACAGAGACGTATTCGGATCGTTGTCGTTTCACGAGTTGAAAGAAAACGGTGATGAGCTATATGTCACGCAGGAAAATAAGAAGGAGTTTGCCGACCTCTATGCGGATTTTTTGCTTAACAAATCGGTGGAGAGGCAGTTTAACGCCTTCAGACGTGGCTTCCAGATGGTTACGGACGAGAGCCCCCTCGCATTACTTTTCAGGCCCGAGGAAATAGAGCAGGTACAATTGTGCATCGTTGATATGGCATAAATATTACGTTATATCGAACGATTTATTCTGACGATATATTTGCCACGCGTGTAGCTCGTTTGCGGAAGCAAAATATTCGATTTTGCTGAGCTGGAAGCAGCCACGGAGTACGAAGGCGGCTATACTGTCGACAGCGAAGCAGTGCGCAACTTCTGGCGTGTAGCACACTCTTTGTCACCTGAAAGTCAACGAAGGCTCCTTCAGTTCACCACAGGTAGTGATCGAGTGCCGGTCGGCGGTCTTTCAAGGCTCAAAATGGTCATCGCCAGACACGGTCCGGATTCTGATAGGTAATGCGACGTTTACGTTACGCTTATTACTTTGACATCGTCTCATTTTGTTACTAACATTTCTGTTTCCAGATTGCCGATAGCACACACATGCTTCAATGTATTGCTGTTGCCAGATTACAGTACGATAGAGAAACTGCAAGATCGCTTATTGAAAGCAATTAATTACTCGAAAGGTTTCGGCATGTTATGAACGTGCCGCATATCGCTCCACTTTCTTCCTCGGTCTTTCGAATTTTATTCGAAGTACACGATATAAGATTCAACTCCTTTCGCCATTTTATTCACAGCTATGCCATTCGGAAGTATTTATCGTAATAATCGAAACCGTACCAGTGCGCTTAAATGTGGAAACATTGCTTGTGTACAACATAAATCAGCAGAGGACTCCTAACCCTAACATTCTAAAAATTCCAACGAATCAAAGACCGAACTCTTTGTACAAAACTGATATTCTTGAAAAAAAATGCTTTGAAACTATTCTTGCACCACTGCAAGTATCGCTTGTACCATACTGTACGTGTACTTTTTCTACTAAAGTAAAGATAAAGATCGATTTCGTTGGTCATTCCGAAACGATTGAGAGAAGTACAAGAGACATTATATGAAACGCGCGACTGCAATAAGCGTAAAAATGTGGGAGACTATACGAAACCGCATTATAGACACAAATATGTAACTTTAGCGAGACATAAATGAGATGCGTTTCGGAAATTTAATGGCCATACAATTATTTCGTGATTTTATGCCGTTGAATTCTCATTTTTGACGAACTAAATTAAGAATAAATTATATTCTTTCTATTTAATGGTTTTGTCGTTGATATTATAGGTCATCAACTTCCGATTCCGTCTATGTATTATGCAACAAACAAAATTTTATTTACAAAAGGATTGGAATTTGTATTGTACATGTAAAATATTTAATTGGATATATGTATACACACACACACACACACACACACACACACACACACACACACACACACACACACACACACACACACACACACACACACACACACACATTACTTGTATATAACAAGCTTAGTGGTAAAGGGGTAAAGTTTAATCTATAAAAGAATATTTATTTTTTCCTAAATGAATTATATAAAATCATAAGGTTACTTGACAGGTATACAACCGTTTAGTTTCCCGAATGCATCTGATGTCGTAAAGCCGAGAAAAACCCTTATATGAAAACACGTTAAACTAATGATGTCACTCTGAAGAGACTTTTGTAAAGTGTGAGATAGTGGCGCTTTTGTATGTATTTTTCTTTCGATTTCTAACATTTTTCTCATGCATCACGCGTCATGATGATCAAGTAGTATCGAATAGAAATTGAATTTGTATAAACGTTTATAATAATTGGCAGCGCTCTTTAACGGCTGCCAAACATTGCCAGCCGTTTTATTGTTATTCACGTGACAATAAAGCCCTTAAAAAAATAAAAACTCATTTATATTTCTCTATGATAGAAAGTTAGACATTAAACTATACAATATATCTTTCTATTTCTATATATTCTATATTTTTTTTCATTATCATTTATCGATAATGTTAAACCATGGATTTGGTTACGTAGTTTCAGTTCTAAAATAAATGTAGGTAGCGGTGCTGCTCCAAAAGCCATAGGAAGTCATTCAACTCATAAATTACAAGTCTCAGTGAATGAATCAATAGAATAAATCAAGCAATTGCATATATTTAGCTTTCATTGCATGAAAAATTTATCTTAAATCTGGACACTTTCAGATGAACAAATTTGTGAAAATTGAATCAAAGTCTCTTCCAATTAAATTGATACACGTCAGTCAAAAATGATATATAAACGACATTTGGTTACACGTGTTTATACACCATTGGTTATTTGCCTAATATTACCAATTTTTCATAGTTTTTGTATAAAAAGGCGCACGTTTTTAGATTCATGCAACTTGTAAGTATCTTTCTTCAAAAGTGTTACTATGCTATCGAAAGATACTCAACTCTCTCGAATTTCTTATACAGGTTACGACCTTTTGTGTACATTAAATTTATTCCATTTATCTGAAATATTTTCCGTCCTTTGACACAAGGCAATTCACATGTAAGCTGTAAGTGAAACATCCTAAAATCAAGAATATATTACAGAATGCATTAAATCAACAGAAAATAAATTCTGTATCAAATAATTTTGCAATTGCAGAAATTGTAAAAAAGAAAAGAAAAAAAAAACTCGATCTTCCATTATTATATACTACCAGATATTATTATATAATATCTGTTGATCGTCATCTATTTTTAAAGTAAAAAAATGCTCAACCATACAAAAACATACATATAAATCTGTTTTCGTTAATGTGATATCGCAATAAACTTACAATTAGAACACACTTCAGTGATGACGGTCAGTGTACTTCCCCGGCTTTGATGAGCTGTCACGTACTTCCGTATTATTTGTGATCTTAAAGATTTAGTTTTTTATCTAAATAACATTACCGCAACATATAGAACAAGGTAATATATAAAATAGTAATGTTAGCATGCCAAAGTATTTTTATTTTATTTAGATAAATGAAAAAGATTGTAGATTTCTAGAACAATCGGTAGATTGCGTCAGTCTCTGTAAGCTTGTGTATGTTTTTACAGTTGTCCGATTAGGAGTTAAAAGAAAAATAAATTAACAGAAAGGGAAATCTTGTTATGAAAATTTTGTGAAAATTTTGCTGTGTGTCTTAAATATTAAATATTAAATATTGCTGTGTGTCTTCCTGCAAATTTTACTACATTAAGTAAGTTTTAATTGTGTAAAGAAGATGTTTAATATTATCAGTTAATTGAATTCAAAATACGATTGCAAAAACTGTTTACAAGTATATATATATTTACTTATTTTTTTATATTTATATTTTATAAATTTTTGAACAAAATATTCTGTTTTTCAATTGTAGAATGGCCAAATCACCAATTAGTTTTCTCCAGGAGTTTGCGATTAAACAGGGATATGTTCCTATGTATGATTTTAAGATTATGAATCCCAACGGAAACAGTAAACAATTTTTTTGTAAAGTAATTTGTAAAGATTTAAGTACTGATGGTACGGGAAATTCCAAAAAAGAAGCTAAACAGAAAGCTGCGGAAAACATGTTATTATTATTGGGCCAATCAAGTAAAGTTTCAATGTCTTCAACCATTTCTTCATTATCTAGTGATGTAGATAAGACACCAGTTACACAGAACTCAACGATGATCTGTAACACACCATCTTCATCAATACATTTGCAACTGATATCAGAAATGATAGATATTAAAAGTGATGTAAATAAAAACATAAAAGAATCATCATTAGATTCTTCTGTTAACTATATCGGAGTGTTGCAAGTAAGTTCCATAAAATATGATTTTACTAATTGTTATACAATTATACAATAATACAATAATAAAATTTTTGATGCAGGAATTATGTGTACGACAAAAATTATCGCCTAGAGACATATCATATAAAGTTATTGGGGAAAGTGGACCAAGTCATATGAGATGTTTCATTATAGAAGTCAGTGTGAAATCTTTACGAGCACATGGTACAGCACAAAGTAAAAAAATTGCTAAACAAGAGGCTGCTAAAAATTTACTACACGATCTAGGTCTAGACAAGTTGGCAGAAGTAAATAATGTTTCCAATGAAATACTTGAAGAGAGTATGCGAAAATTAGGTATAGGAATATCAGAGAGCAAGCCAGCATTACCAATTGTAGAACTGTCGGATAAAGCTCAGTCAATCTATCTTGAATGTACTAATAAGGTAAATAAGTCAAACAAATTGCCCGAACATTTTATTACAAATCTTCATATTTTATTTGAAAACACTTATGTCACTAAGATCCCTCATAATATGATAGAAAAAATGCAAATAATACGCATCGATCAGACACATTTAATACAAGAAATGAGACTACATATTGAGAGAATGTTAAAACTTAGAATCGAACAGTCTATTATATGTAAATCGGAAAAGGGCTATGTAGTAAGCTTGCGCTTATTATCTATCCATAATATAACACAAATCGGTATAGGTAAAACTAAAGATGAAGCAGAAACTATGGCAATGTATAATATCATTACAGCCATTTTAATTCTTGTAAATTAATATGGAAGTGATGATATGGATATGAAAAATTTCATTTTTTTATTATTGCATTCACATGTTTCGATAAAAAATATGATAAAATATGATGACATATACATATATATATATATATTTAACAATTTTTAACATTTTTAATTTATTTCTGTACTTAATCAATTGTTCCTAATTCTAAATTTTATATAATTCGTGTTTTGAAAGTCATATTATGAAGTCAAAAAGTATAGAGATATTTTCAGTTGATTTAAAAATAAAAAAAAATAAGTTTTTACTTTTTGGCTTTCATGATATTTAACATTGTCATTATTTATTTTATATTTATTGTTATTCTTAATGAGTTGATTCTTAAAGTTTACACAAATATGCGTAGAATAAAAATTTATTACTAAAAAAAGTTGGCGCCAAAATCTGAAAAGTATAAAACTAAAAACATGATCTGAAAAATTAAAAAAGATAAATGTTCAATTGTATGTATATAACAAAGTTAACTTTGAGATTAACATAAAATGTAACAAATTAAAAGAGTAATAGGTCTAAATATATAATATTTACTACTTTTTTGGCATCTATTTTAGTAAATAAATGATTGAATAAAATATTTTGTATAATTTTATATTCATATATATTTTTCTATAATTTGTTACATTATATGTTAATTTAAGAGTATTAACATTATTGTTAATTGTTAAAAGTGTAAGAGATATATGGCTTGAGACGTGTTCTTTATAATTATTAAGGTAATTGTATTGTGTCGTGTTGTTAAAGTTGTAATTATAAATAATTATTAAAATCATAATTATAAAAATAATTGTTTTAAAATAAGAATTTGTAATTACTCGAGAATATAAAAGACATAATGGTTAAGAAATTGTATTGGACAACAATTATAATAAATGATAATAAAAGAATCAATACAGATATGAAAGCAATAAAAATATATTGTCACAAAATTGCTGGAAACTTGGATCTTTTTGCGTTCTTAATTTTTCTACATGGTTATTTTTGCTTCCGAGCTACTTTTGACAAGATGTTAAGATGCTCGTAAAATATTTAAATAATCAAAACATCTTTTTTAAAATTTTTGGAAAGTTTTTTGTTGTAAAATCCGAAGTCATTAAAGAAATTAAAAGTGATGCTTATTGCTGCGTCTAATCTGGTTCAAATCTGACGTCACTGCAATGTGGTTCTGTTCAATGTAACCTGGTAACTTGCGCATGTGTGGTATTCTTTCCATTCATGCTGTTTGTTTCTTGCGCTTCAAATCTGGTCACACTGACCGACAACTGTTTGTCAGTTGGCGGGTTGGCGCCAATTTTCTGTATGTATTGGATATGTAGTTTGTTATTAATTTTTCATTATTCGTAAAGCGTCAATTAGGAAAAGTGTATCAATTAATTCGCAAAAATGTCAGACAAACGGATTCTAGGCAAGCGATTAGGACAATGCGTTGGTCAAGAAGCAATCGTGCTGGGTAGAATTACAATGGTAAGATGTTTTTTTTTTTGGTTAACCTCCGGTTGGAAGTAAATTGTGATTCACGTCTATAGGTTAAATTATGTTATAATTTTCCACCGGTGTTCAATTGATATAGAAATAAGAATACATTTTATCACATTGCATTGTCATAAACATTGTCATAAACATTAATTGTCATTAATCATTATCAATATTGAGGCATTATGATTAATACATTTCAATAGATTAAAGTTAAACAACAAGGTTTAACACTACAAAAATTGGAAATTAATTTTTTAAATATTTTATATGAATAAATATTTTGTGTGTTAACAATTATATATAAATGTATTTGATTCAATTTGCAGAAAAGTACAGATGGCATGAGTACAGAAATAACGACGACGGATGATGCTCGAATTAATGTAACATTTCCTGAGCTACTTGACAACGATGCATCAAGCTATATAGAAGTACATGGCACTGTAAAATCAAAGTCTACCATGTCTTGCACCAACTTTGTATGTTTTCCTTCAAGTATGACTAAAGATTTCGGTGAGTAAAGCAACTTTTTCATCATCAGCCTTTTTGAAAAAAAAAAAAAAAAACAAATGTCGTTTCTAATGAATGATATTTGTTACAGATGTAAATGGCTATAATACTATGGTGAATATGCTTTGTGCAGTGGGCAATCAGTTGGAAGGAGTGTTTCATGGTGATTAAGAATTCAGAAGTTCATGATATATTTAAATTGTTTACTATGTTCTATTCTTTTTACATTTTTGTACATTCTATTTGTCATTCTTGGTATATATCTTTTTCATAAAAGTAACAAAGAATGCCCTAATGTAAAGGAAATCACTGAGACATGCATTTCTTTGTCCATGTTTAAAATTGATCCAAATAGACGTGATAAATATACAAAATATATGAAACCCTATAATTATAACAAAGATTATGATTTAAGAATTTCTCCTAAAATATTTAAAATATTTTGTTTTTTATTTCCATCTATGAGAAATACCTATTCCTATGCTACAGCTGTGTCCAAGGACGAGCAGCGGCAGTTGCAAGACGTTACCGGACATTCATTATGTTGACTGAAACATTGGACACAGAAATCAATAATGAATTTTTTATAACGTCTTGTGCATATATATATTTTTTTCGCAATATTAACCATTTGAATTGTTCTACTAATATACATATATTTATAATGCTTTATATGTTTATGTGCTTACCGAAACCACTGAGCTATGTGCTCGCTATGTCCGCCATGTTTACACGTTAGGCACCAAGTAAACCAGCTATTGAATTCTGTAAGCTGGGTGTCACATTCTTCACTTCTGCTACCGCCAGGACTAGGGGCTGTTTGCAGTCCGCTGACAGTACCCATATGCATCAAGCATATTGCACAGCGTGGCAAAGGTTTGCGACAATTCGGACACGCCGTCATCTACGATCAAAAAGGATATTGAATAAAACAAAAAACCTAATTCCATTGTTGAACAAAAAGTAAAATCTGATAAATGTATAATATCCAGATAAAAGATATTTGCCTTCAATTTATTAGGCGTACTGCTTAATCTACCAAATGGGACTCTCGTTCTGCTCAATCCTTGCATAAAAGCCGATATGCTTTTACCGCAGAAGTTACAAGAGATATATATTTGCTGTGGTGGTTTCTCTTGCGGCGTCGAGGATCTCATAACAATGTCGAATCTGGCTCTTTGGAACCATAATTTCCACGCATTCAAGAGGTGTCTGTAACTGTAACAACAACTGTTAATACACGCGATGCAAAGGATCGGTAATGCGATAAACATTTACAGGGAGGTTAATACTTAGTAATCCACACTTGAACTTGATGTTCTTGGATCAATTTAGGCGCAAAAGCTCTAATAGCAATAAGAGTACAACTTTGAACATCCGAAGTAATTTCTAAATATTTACTCAATATGTGTATGCTTTCCAAACTCGCACCTAAGGCACAACAATTAATGAATTATAAATGTGCGTATAGTTAATATTACATTTTTGTAAATATAAAACACATTTGAGTTGTATACCTGTGACCAAGAAGCCCGCTAGATCACCCTCTTCAATCAACTTCTGAGTCAATCTTTTCAAGTACTCGTGTAATTTACTGTCAGATAAAAACATGAGAGCAAATGCTACTCGATCTTCAACAGCCATGCCGTTTTCGTTCTGCAACGTCAAATTTATGTATTTATTTTCGTCAAAACTTTATTCATTTTTGCACACTTATTATACTCACAAGTACGTTTTCATATGAATCGTTATCCGCAGTTAAGAAACCGAATGTTGCTCTTAGGTAAGGATCGGATAATTGAGATCGAGATTTCTGACATGATTCTCTCCACAATGTGGTGCGTTCCTCGGAGAAGCCCGACAATGCCATAGCCACCATACTCAGAGTGGTCGTTCGACTCTTGTCGTTGCCTCGATTTAAAATGTCTAAGGCCTGCCTTAAACAAAGATTAAATACCGCGAATGCCGCTGCTTTCGCATACGAGCCTTCTTTTTCTAGTTTCTCCAGATATGCATTGTCATATGCAGTATTGGTCTCCTTGTCGAATCGCAAACCGCACAAAAGAAAACTTTTCTCCCTATCTGGTGATCTGTGGTCAATATCGATCAAAATTACATTAAATACGCGCGAGTGCCTATATTTTGTTCATATTTTACGCACTCAAACGATTGTCACCTGTAGATCTTTGTTGTATAACTGGAACCTATGTCCGTCCAGGGACGATGGATTATTTCCGACTTAATGAAACCATTGCCCGGATTTTGCTGGCCGTCTAATTTTAAGACTGTCCTATATAAAAAATCAAAAGTATTGTAACTTTATTATATATTCTTATATACATGTTATATAATCACATTTAAGCATATTGTAATTTGACTTGCCTTACACCAGGATGCTTATTATCAGGGCTTTGTATAACATTATCTTCTACTAAAGAGCGACTTAGATATAACCATTGCCACAAATTTTTCAAGGTATCGTTTCCGGCTATCTCGCCATTTTGCGCTAAATCCGTCTGAAAGTACATACACATGCATACTGATTCAACATAAAAAATAGAAAAAAAAGAAGTTATACGAACAAAATGTAAGATGAAAATTGATAATTAAAAATAATTAAAAATTGTTCACATTTCCTGTTTTTTTTATTAGAGGAACTTGTATATTAAATGATAATCCACGAGTAGATTTACCTAATTTAGATATTTTTATGTATTGTTGTTTAGAATTTATCATTATAGTGCAAATATTTTAAAATTTTAATAAAAATGTAATTCAAATCAAAATGTAGAATAGTTAGAATTAGATGAGTTGCAATTTAGTTATATTATTGGATTTTTTATATTAATATAAAAATGAAAATGGATTTAATAGTAAATTTATTTAAATAAATAGATTGAATAGTAAAAAAAATGTGTACAAATTGCCCGTCATGTTCACTTACAAGCAAACCATATTCAATCATGGCACGCTTCTTTGTTAAAACTGAGATGTCATCCAGTTCCTTATAAACGCTATCCTCACTGTGTATATATTTGTAAGATTTAAAAGCATAGTTCCACATGAGACACGACCGAGCGGACCAGTTGAGCGTTATTCTCTCACATACAGTATAATCGGTAACTCCTGTGAAATAAAAATTTGACAATAAATAATGTTGCGTTATAAAAAAATGATACCACAAGAATATTGTTATATACCTTGCATTGATATTGCTAATAATCGATTTTGATCATTCGGATGCCATGAAAAACTTATAGGACTATGCCATGGTGGTAAAACTACTCTTTCCAGGACACCTGGTTCGGTGTCTTCCCCTCCGCAGTATTGAATATCAAATAGATGCAAACCTACTATAAAGTGAGAAAAAATAGATTTTTATACACATTTCTCTCTTTATCACTAATAGTTTAGATCAATTTTTTTTATAACAAATCTATATATATATATACACATCGTTCGTGTAGTTATAATTTAAAAACATTTAAATTATACCTGAATCTTTCTGTAGTGTGCCGATAAGATTACGTCTGGTTGGACACCATAGCACTTTTGTAACCTGTTTTTGTGCCACTATAGTAACAATAGGTTTCTCAAAACACCTTGTATCCCAGATGGTGATCACATTGTCAACATGAGACAATAATTGAGAGCTATTATGAGGATTTACTGACAAATTGTATACTGCCTTTGTGGCAGTAACATTTACCACTTTTGCAGAATCTAATAAAATTTAAGATGCAACAATAAAAAATTGTTGATTGTTTATCATCTTTATCCATAGGCATACCTTTAAAATCAACAACTTTCAATTGCTTGTTATTAGCACCTAAAGCCAGACACCTAGGATCATGCTTAAACCAAGCAGCGGAATGTATAGTTTCTGATACTGCCGCTTCAGCTATTGATCGTTCAGAGCCCTTTGGATAGTGATGTACATCCCATAGTAATACAGAATGCTCTTTACTATGCTTATCCAAACCCGACATGATCAAGTGGGTATCCACAGGATTCCAGGCAACAACATTGCATGGTCGTGTATATTTTGGAACTAAAATTTCATCACGACATTAGTTTATATAATGAATCATTAAAACAATTTTGTTGCGATTAAATTATCAAGTAATATAGTAAGCAATTTACAAAATTCTCTTCCCACGATGCCTTGATAATCAAACTCTGAAGGACTAAGGGTACTTAAGACTATTTTTCCATTTGCATGGCCACTAGCCACGATGTCTGGTTCCGGTTGGGGATATATGTCAACACATTTGGCATAGCTATTAATGGTAACAGATGAAACTAGTTCAGCAATGGAGTGTTCAGAAATCTGTAAATCTGTTTTGGAAAGAATAACGTATGAAATAACCTTCTACATGCCGTGTAGTGGTATAAAGGTCTGTTGTGTACTTACAAATCTGATCGCCGTCTCGTGCACTATTATTCCGAGATGCAATTTCATAGAGATTCAATACAGCGTCACTATCCCACGTGATAAATCTGTCCGAATGAAAAGGGGACCACAGCACGTCCCATTTAGGACGGCTCATTTTTTTCCTTTTCCTGGTTTCTTATTACGTTTCTGTCATAAAATTAAAGATTATTGCTTCATTTTACTGATTGATTTAACGAAACATTACATTCGCATGTACGACACATGTGTCGCGATTATAACCGTTGCGCGATGTGTGATCCAATTGTTAATGTCCTAATTGAATTTCTCCTGCTTCGTCTGTTATGAATATTTGTTCCTTTTGGAACACGGTCCTTTAATGTTTATCATGCTTCCTTATTCTATGTTTCCTCCTGCGATTTTAAACAAATCGTACTTTAACTGTCTCACAACACCAAACCAAAACAACAGTATATAGTAAAATAATCGTGAGATAACGCCAAATGTACAGAAAACATAAAGGACGCAATAAAAATGTCATCAGCAAAAGTTTCTAGAAAACGCATTTTCCCATTGGATGTCAGAACGTCGTATATTGCACATTAAATGCAATATGAATGCATCATTAGTTGAAGTCCTAGAACTCCTAGTAACTCTATAGGCCGTATTCATAGTCCGTTCTTATATAAGATTGGCTTAAATATGATCTTAAGATCTTTGAACCAATCAGAAGGCCAAATTACTATCTTAGCAATACTTGAGATTATTTTGGCATAAGAATGGACTATGAATACCGCCCTATTTCTCTAGTGCAATTCTAAATTCGCAATATAGTTTATGACATAAATACCTGTTGAAAACACATTGTAACCTTAAAAAAAATTTTGTGTTTTATTTTCGATTTTCAGCACGTGCAAAATGTAGACATATAATGAGATAATGTGATTTCGATCTTATCGGATCACAAAATTTGAGATCACATATCAAAAGTGAATACCGATAGATGGTAGCATGAATATATTTATGATTTATTTACATTTCGTTCATAAAAAATATGAACTGATAACGAATTGAAGATTGCGACCGACTGCGAATCTTCTCGACGCCAGTTAGTATCGTGATCGTTCTTGATACGAGAAATTCTTCATTTAATTCACGTTCAAATTTGCAGAATCAGGGTACAAATTCCAAAAGTTGCAGGACGACTTTTCTTGCGACTTAACTATTTCATCAAGTTATCTTGGCGATTCTCTGAGTTATTATAGGTTATCGCTGATTATCGTGCTTACGTTAGATAAGAATAAAAAGTGCGGTGTAAAATAGCAAAAGTGGGGAAACGAAGAAATATTAAGCAGTAAGTAAGTGAAGGTGAATGACACGTGTGTGTGTCTAAAAGGCTGCCATGTTCACGCCCCACCGTGTCCACCAGTCGTGCGCGTATTTTATAAGGACCGCACGCTCACTACAAACAGCTAGTTACGGTGTCACGTCATCACAGCGACTGTCATTTGAATACAAAACTGATCGTCACCGTCACTTGCTGCGTATTCCATCATCAACAACACTCGCGAAAACTCTCGGCGCTTCATTTGCAACAATGGCAAAAATAAAGGTGAGTGTTATCACAGCCGGATTGAAAAATGCGACATATCATCCAGATGGAGGGGGGAAGTAGGGAGAAAACCGGTTAAATCGATTTTCTCTGTTGGCATAGAAAAATCAAACTTATGCTAATCATTGAAATTTTTCCTTTTCGTTATCAATCATTACTCAGAGAAATGATATAAATTTTAATTTCTGATATTTTATTTACCAATAAATGTCTAAAATTTAAGTGTGTCAGATAAATTACATATGGTCAAAAAATAAAGCAAACATATTTTTCTTAATTAATAATTTAATTTATGTAATAAGATGTAACAGACTATCTTTTTCCAAAAGAGAAGATTTTGAAAAATATTCTTATATAATTCTCAGGCAGGACCAGTTGTTGATATTCTTGGGGATGAGATGACACGCATCATATGGGATGCCATTAAAGAGAAACTCATTCTGCCCTACTTAGACATCGAACTGCATACATACGATTTAGGTATTGAAAACCGCGACGCCACAAATGACAATGTTACAGTGGAATGCGCAGAGGCAATTAAACGTTACAATGTGGGTATCAAGTGTGCCACTATCACACCTGATGAGAAACGTGTGGAAGAATTCAAATTGAAACAAATGTGGAAGAGTCCCAACGGCACTATCAGAAACATACTAGGTGGCACAGTATTCCGCGAGCCAATAATCTGCAAGAACATACCGCGTCTGGTAGTTTGCTGGAAAGAACCCATTATTATTGGAAGACACGCTCATGCTGATCAGTATAAAGCCACTGATTTCGTGGTGCCAGGACCGGGAAAGTTGGAAATCACATGGACTGGTGCTTCGGGTGAGAAGATTCAGCATACTGTCCATGAGTTTAAGGGTGCCGGTATCGCTCAAGCTCAGTACAACACTGATGAGAGCATACGCGCGTTCGCCCACAGCTCATTCCAGTACGCACTGTCGCGCAATTATCCACTTTACTTGTCCACGAAGAACACTATTCTCAAAAAGTATGATGGTCGCTTCAAAGACATATTCCAGGAGATTTACGACAAGGAGTACAAAGAGAAGTTCGAGGCAAAGAAGGTGTGGTACGAGCACCGGCTGATCGACGACATGGTGGCATACGCCATGAAGTCCGATGGTGGTTTTGTATGGTCGTGCAAGAATTACGACGGCGACGTGCAATCGGACTCGGTGGCACAGGGCTACGGTTCCCTGGGCATGATGACATCGGTCCTTATATGTCCGGACGGTCGCACGATTGAAGCCGAGGCTGCTCACGGCACCGTCACCCGCCACTACCGTCAACATCAACAGGGCAAAGAGACTTCTACCAATCCGATCGCTTCCATCTACGCGTGGACTCGCGGTCTGCTGCATCGCGCCAAGCTCGACGATAACGCAGGTCTGCGACACTTCGCCCAGACGTTGGAAAAGGTTTGCGTAGACACTATCGAGTCTGGTCACTTTACCAAGGACCTCGCCATATGCATCAAGGGTATGGACAATGTCAAAAGGGCCGATTATTTGGAGACATTCGAGTTCTTGAACAAGCTCGCTGATAATTTGAAGAAACAGCTCAGCGCATGACTTGAAAACAAGGGACGTCTGCAAGCAAAATATTAGATCATCATTGCTTTTCAATGGTAAAAGTTAAGTCAAGTCAAAGTAAAGTAATTGTTTGCGTGGTTACGGGCAAAAGGGAAGCTTCGATGAATATAATATAATATAAATTTGTCGCTGTAATGAAATCTTGAAATTATGTAGACTGTTTTTCACTTTTACACTATAAATCGCGATCGCGATTTATTTTAGAGGTATTAATCAAATCGTTTATTTCGACAGCAATAAATAAAAAAAAAAACTCAAACACGTGAGATATTATGCAAGGCGAGTGATCGGAACAATTTGGCAATATGATAACGATGGTCGAATTTTTGCACTCGCTAATTCAATATTAATTTGAGATAATTACAATTGAGTGTAAGTTATTATTTTAATTGATATTTTCTGAATTATATTAAAATACACGGGTTTTAAGTATTTATATTTATATTGCTAGAATGAATAAAATATTGAGGCAAGTGAATTTAAAGTACTAAGCCGGTTATAGAATGCAAAATGAAATATGTACGATTGTATATTTTTAAATAAATTCTTTTTAATCACGGAAGACTACACGTTAATGTGTAACGCAATTAAATCGTCCAATATTGAAGAAATATATATAATTCTATAAAATTATATTTTACAGAAATTTCAAAAACACGGTTTAAGATTTAAAAAAATTGTTATATAAACTTTAAAATTACATTTCTTTAATATTGGGCGATTTGATTGCAATTTCTAAGTATATGTGCAAATACTATAGTTTGTATTAACATCATTTTTATGTCCTCAAAAACAGCATCACGCGATTTATCACGTTACAAATAACATCCTCCTAATCAATGATATTCGTTATCAGCTAATTCTCGCGCAGAGCTGCCAGATTGAAGACCCAAACAACAATCTTCGGCTTATTTCGGCTAACAGAAGAAAGTCAGCTCTGTTTTCGCGTAATAGACGATTGCGGAATGGTTTACACATCAAAGTAGCAATTAAATTTCTTCATCGATGATTTGAATGCAAACAACATTGCGTTAAGAAATTTTCTTGACAATTTGAGCAATTGATTTATGCAATTGTATGTATCGAGATAACTGTATCAGTTTAAAATTTTCATATTATCAGTAAGAAAAACTTTGCATGAACTTGTGATAACAAAACTCACTTTGTGCAGATCACAAAAACAGTTTTTTTAAAGTAAGAAAGTTTTGATATAAATGCTAATTGAGAAAATAGGTTTCAATTATAAGATATTGAAATCTTTAAATTCTTCAAAAGTCAGGTATACTTTTTCAAATAATTTTAATAATTATTCTGAAAAACGATTCGTTAAATATAAAAATTAAATATTTCAACAATGATTTTCATGCGAATGTATCCTACAGCAAAGCACAGAGGACGGCTTGAATTGATTAAGTGTAATGTCTTCATGAACTTGTCGACCTTTTAAAGCAGTTCTTAATACATTATTTATATATTATGCGACTTTAATTTCCGTCTTACGTAATATTTATAATGTACATGTCAATACAATCGGATATGTACACCGCGTATATTTGTGCATTTGTATCGTCGGACGGTAAATGATGAAACACGCTTTGATATCATTAGCATGCTATTTTATCGACATCGATGTTCTTTGTTGACTTCCATTTTGTTCTTCCAGGAAACGGATTCTGAGGTATAACAATTTTTATCTCCGTTGCATATAAATAAAATTATATGAACATTAGATGTATCAGTGATCTCTGGTGCGTTTGATGATAAATACTAGGGTAGTAAGTGGTCAAATCTTTTTGTAACATTGCAACAACATTTTTTATTTATCTAATTGTTTTCTATTATTCTATACTCTCAAAGAACAAAGGAATTTGATAAAAAAGCTGAGTCATGCATTGTGAAATATCCTTATGAATGCAAATGCATCAGACACTGTAATATACCTGTTTATATTCGAAATTTGGAAGAAGAAAAATTGCGAAAAAGTACTTAAAAAATACAATTAAAGAAGAGACCTATATTCTAACCTCATATATTTATGTTCTTTAAACAGCCATTATTTTCGATTTGTTATTGGAAAAATTGCACTCGGCTTTTCGATTGCAAACGGAATATATAATTACTCCAAAATATCGGATCTGTTTAATAACACCTGGCAATAGTTGATCGACTTTGTATAGCTTATGGTGAGTGTTTATTAACTTAATTATTTATACTGGTAAGTACAATTTTTTTTTCAATATTTGAAAAATTTTGATCAATAGAAATTGGATTCGACTATTCTACTTGTTTTACTTCAAGGTTCACTGTAATTATTGAGATATGTAGTTTATCCGCGACATCAGTGTTTAATTTATTGTATCTTTATCGATTATATATGTATAGTAAGAAACATAATGGATTTTTAATGGTACTAGAAGAATTGAACGCGCCTGATAATGGATTAACACAATTAATCTTTTTTCCTATTGCTATATTCAGTTTCGTCTTGTTGGCGGTTCTTTCTGATGGCGGTGCACAAACGCACGCCACAGTGAAGAAATCACCATAGCAAGGAAATCGTACATGTTTGCATAACGCATTTCTTGAAAAGAATGAAAAGAATTATCTGCAAGATAATTACACAGAAGTGTATTTTTTATGGTCGGTTGCGTCTCTTAAATTTCTATTTCATTAAACATAAAATATTACAATATGTTTGAAAATTATTGATTGGAAACTCTCAACAAATAATTTTCCTTGACACGTTTTATATTCTCTGATATCAGCATGTAGCATTAATCGTTTTTGCGACTTGAACATCCATTTGCTTCACGTTACAGCTGAATGAACCGAAAGCCGCCGAGGCGAGCCGCCACCGTCCGGCGACGGATGTACTTCCACCAGTACCGCAAAAGTAGGTGACCCTGAGCATCGACGGCGAGCGAAGAGTTGTACCCGCATATCGCCGCCATTCCAAGTGCAGCTGATTAGTGAAGGAGGAAAAGAAATACGAGCGGTATGAAACGGAGCTGAAAGGATGCTGGCACCTACGCAGGATCAGAATGTTACATTCCCGGAAGGCAAATAAGATATGGAGTAAAAATAGCACCTCTTTGGAGCGAGATTAGAAAGCAAAATCGATTTCAAGGGGCACCGATACCGATAGGATAAAAAACTGTAACAGGAAGACAAAAGGAATCAGGTATTTTTTTAAACTTTATATAATAGAATATTGTTATATAATTAGATCGCCGCATAATTATGTAATGTCATCATCGACATCATCGTCGTCGTGTTGGAATGTTTGCTTTCCACGTGAAGCCGCTTTTCCTTCGAGGAGGAATTAGGATCTCGACAGAGGTGAAGCGGAGGAAGAGCGACGAAGACGCCGCGGAAAGAAGGCCGGGGACTGTTCTCCCGGTGTCGAAATTGGAATTGCAGATGGCGCCCGGTCTGCGCCACCTCGCCATCGTCGTCGCCGTCGACCGACCGCGGGGCGCGGCAGAAGGGACGGGGAGGGAAGGGGCTGCGTTCGCTCACCTCGTAGTCTTCCTACGATCTGCTATCCGCTCCGTCAGCCAGTGTTGACGCTGACGACAAGAAGTATTCACAATTGGAGCTGATAGCTGGAGAGGACGGAAGACCTCGACAAGAGCAAGTTAGAGCGAAGTGAGGAAGATAGAGAGAGAGAGAGAGATAGAGATAGAGAGAGAGAGAGAGAGAGAGAGAGAGAGAGAGAGAGAGAGAGAGAGAGAGAGAGAGAGAGAGAGAGAGAGAGAAAAGAGAGGAATAGGAATAAGTAAAAGGTGGGAAAAGGGGCGTTAAAAGGAAGAAAGAAAAAGACGGCGCAACGGCGGCTTTTTTGTACCGCAATACGATTTTCGAGATAGAATTGACACTCGCCGGACGAATAGAATGATTAGACGGATGGACGATAAGTAGATCGTGGTCGATCGCTGCCGATCGCCGTCAATGACGCGACACCAATAGTTGCGCGACATCGTCGCTGCTATCATACGACAATCGCGCACAATAGCAAGATAACCTGCTCGAGAAACTCATTACCACATTGCTGAAGGTGGAACGAAGGTTTGTTTCTAATTAAACATTCAGCGTCGGTTCACGCGATATTTGCGCTATTAATATCCGCGACGGTTCTTGACAATTCAAATGAAATGAAAAACAACTCGGAATGATCATAGAGTCCTCGATTTCGAAGATACGTAGCTTTGTAAAATGGCCACCTTTTCTGCATTCACCATCCATTATTCTCCAAGACCCACTTTAATCCAATTGCCTATCTTATCGCGGCTGTTCGACACAATTTCTGTCTTTTTTTTTTTCAATTTCTTTTTGCAGTTTTATCACAGAATTCGAGAAAAGGCAAAGAATTGACTAAACGAAGATTTAGAACGAAAGGAAGCTGGTGAAACCGCTGTCTGAGCGAATTTACGTGTCGAATACATTATCTGATGACAATTTTTCGACTTTGACGTCGATCCGCAACGTTACACGCGCCCGCGCGATAACCGAGTAAACAAGCGCCGGTTGAGTCCATTTCCGCCCACGCTCCTCTCCTCCTCTTCTCTCCACCGGAAATCATCAGGGAATGACAAGACCAAAGTCGGACATGTTACAGACACATGAACACTTTCGCAAACGAATCCTTCTTTTATCCGATATCCTGAAGCGTTCTCTCTCAAGAATTTTTTTTCGTGATTATTAAAGATTCATATAATTCTTGGTAAGTAGTTTTTTTATTCGAAAATGAAGCCGCAACGTATACATTTCTAAGAGTGCTTTAATAGCTTTTTTTACTAAGTATCCACTGCATTGTATGGATATCTTATTAGATTTTTATTTGCAAGTGAGAAAATGAAATTTTAGAATATCTATGTTTATAATATATATTTTCTTCAGATCAAAATGGATCAATTATTTCACATTATCACATTAGATGGGCATTTTATAAATTATTTCAGACCACATAAGTATCTTGTTTCTAATTTTTGCAACTTGATAATTTAATTACGTTAATTTTTCAGATGTTATAACGATATTTAAAAGTCATTATTTAAGTAAATGAGGACGATCGATTAAAAAAAGGCTTTTACATGCATCAGGACGTTGATGTTATTCGGTCGATTTAATTCGCTCAGACAGAGACGGATCGTAGACAAACGTATAGAGATCGTATTTTCCCAGCGAACGTCGATACTGCGAGTAAGAGCGGCACGTCAGCAGCGCCGGGGTTAATCATGGCGCCATGTAGAACGGTGACATTCCTCGCGGCCGTGAAAGCCACTTTATTAAATTCGATCTGCATGAATCGCGAGCTAATAACAACGCCTCAGTGGGCAGCCATTACATTCTATCCGTTTCAGCTGTACTGTTCTGCACTTTCCTGCTATACTTCTTTTTTTTTTTCTTTCTTTTTCTCGACGCTCGAATCTACAAAATCGTGTCAAACGCGTTAGATGAAAGGAACAAACATCGAATCGGAATAGAGTTTAATGATGTCGGTTGCAAAATACATCCGCAGCGTCGATCGACATGCAAAGGATATTATAGATCTATACATTTTTTATATTTCAAACCGCAATGAGATAATAAACGTGAATTTTGCATATATAAGATACAAAAGGAAGGAAGCGCGATGTAGCAGGTGTGTTGTGAGACAAACAGACTTGGTGTTGTTTTGCCAAGAAAATCGGAGATTACGAGAGGAAAAGGAAGTTACGCGGATCTGTTTCCGACAAACACACTGCCGACTGGCGCACACACCTTCACGCATGACTCCGCGATAATGATGCAAGCTTCGCGTAGCTCGACACTTTTTCTGATGATTGCGATATCGCGACGACGTTATCGATATCGGGGCCAAGTAATGACTTGAGTATGTGATCTTCTCATTCGTGAACGTGCAGTAACGATCGCGGACGCGCTTTTACGCGATAGATCCGTTTCGATGAGAGCGGAGAAAGAGGAGGAGAAGCTTGCGCAAGGTCGAGAAACATGGTGGTGGAAAACGGTGGGGCACAAATTATTTCTATGATTTCTTGGCCGGAAGATAATCTTGCAGTGGCGGATTCATCGTCGGCTAGAAAGAACGAAATAAAGAAATAAAAAAAAAGGGGAGCATGGCGGAGCACCACCGTCGTCGCAGTCGCAGTCCTCGTTGCGGCGTGTCTGGATCTCTTCCATTGTGAGGAGACACAGACGTACGCACGCACGCATGCATTCTCGCGCGCTCATACGAACGCATGTCCGTGCGGACCATATTTCCGTAACGTGAACCGGAATCTGTTGAGACCACACGCGTGACAGCGGCCATCGACGACAACGCGACGACGACGACGACGACGACGACGTCGGAAGAAGCAGCGTCGCGCACGTCGATGGTCGGCGCGACGCTGACGGATCGTGATATCGCTCCGATAAAGGTTTTTTTTAATCGCTGGTAAGAGTCGGGGAGCGCGCGGATCATTCGACGCGTTCGTAAAGGATTCGTAAAGCCCGTCAGCCCCACAGTTGGGCCGTGTGCGATGCGTGACGCGATTGCGCTTGTGTACGGCCAGCAATAGCAGACGCCATAAGCATAATCGTAATTTTTATCGGCAGATCGGGAGCGGAGCTCGAGGATGACGGGGCCCGACGCGCTAGAACGTGGAGACTGGTGAATATAATTAATTTCTGCGCGGAGCGCCATGTTCGGTGCGGCGGGCAAGGGTGAGCGGAGAAGTCTACGCGGAAGTGCACGGCAGTCGTCCAAGATGCCGGGAAGACTGCCCCGGCTGCGTGCACTGCGACCGCGACCGCAGCAACAGCAGCAACGACAGCGAGCGAAGAGCGACGTTATCGCCGCCGTCGCCGTTGACACGATACGCAGGTCGGAAGGTAACCTTAAAGAAGCGCTCGCGCGTCACGAGGAGGAGGCGAAGAAATGCAGCGCGAAGAAAACCGAAGACAGAACGATGGACGTTGCGACAAACGAGATGGACGGCGACGACGACGAGGACGATAACAACGTTGATGACAACGAGCTGACGATGACTGTCGTCGCCGATGAAGAAGTGACTCCGGATGGCGAAATCGATGTTGATTTCGCGGTGAAATCCGAAGAAACGATTGATCTCGAGACTGAACGCGCTTCGTACGAGTGCAAAAGTTGTAATCCTCCCAAAACGTTGCCGAGCATCCAGGCGTATTTCGAGCACCTCCAAAAGGAACACAAATATAAGGTACGCGCCGCGACGACGCCGTTCTTCCCTTGCGATTTCTTGAATCTGTATCGCTCTGTTTTGCGCTCTCGTGCTCGTTCCTTTTTATATTAGCGATTTTTTTTCCTCCTTATAATAATGCTGTTTTTAAAAGTGGAAAATAGCTTAATAATGCGTCTATTTTTATGCTAGAGAGGCAATGTGCTGTGCATTATTTTGCAGTCGCAATATATGCTAGTGACGATATGTTAATTAAATCAATCATACAAAAGCACACACTCACTGTTCGCAGGAATATGTTTTATTGTAATTTTTAGGGCAAAAACGGACACAGTCCAGTCGAAAATCATTGCCCTGCGTGTTCGTATGTCGCATTGAACGTGAAAGATCTCGAAAGTCACCAAAGACTGCATCATTTGAAAAGAAAATTCTTTCGTTGCGGAAAATGTGATTACGTGACGCATATCAGAGCGCGTTATACTAAGCATGTTAAATATCATTCTCTGCCGATGATCAAGTGCGATGCTTGTGATTTTAGTTCAGCGTATAAGGTTTGTTCCTTCTACTACTTGGTTTCTCCGAGAGATACGTGTGATTATATGTCACATACTTTCCAGGGGTTTAAAGAGAAGCTTGCAATCTCTCTCTTCACTTTGGGATTATATCTGTAGGTTACATAGATTATTATTACATTTGTCTTTAACGCTATTTTTGCAGTGGAATCTAGAAAGACACATGAGGAATCATGGAGGTGGAGGTGCTTTCAAATGTCGTGCATGTAATTTTACCGCTGATATCCGACAGAGCTTGACGGTGCACGAATCTTATCATCATGATCCACCTGTGGGTCAAGTCAATCGCAAAAGTAATAACGCTTTCGAACGTAAGCCACGAAATAGTCCAAAACGTTACAATCAGGTAATATATTATCTTGCTCATTAAGATTTATCAATCATATGAAATAACGTGTTTCAATGTCCGCCAGGTTGGAGCGAGTGACTTTCGTGAGGCGTTGAACAAAACCGGAAGTATAACCTCGATCAATTCCGTCGACTCGTTCATGGATGATTCGATAATTTCGATAGAGGATAAGCAAAGCGCCTTGGCCAACGCGGAATGCATCGCGCTGAAGTGCGAGGAAGTGGGCTGTCAGTTTATAACAGCCTGGGATTCCGAGATGCAGCGTCACTTAACCGAATGCCATGCGCCGATTTCTGTGTCCAAACTGAGCAAACCACTGCCAAGGTTAATACCATTGAAACTAGCCAACTCTTCGCCAAATAACAAGCCGAGCAGTAGCGGACCGCCGACAACTTTGCTGAGAGTTCCGCGCGTTAGGGTGAGACCCGAATTGGCGCAAATCGCGAGGGACACCGAGCTGGCCAAGATGTACGCAAATAAGGAGGTTGGTTGTGACCGAATTCCGTTTGTCGCTGGAATACAATTTCGAGCGCAATATTGATGACCGATTGCCGTTTGCTTTCAGGCGACGAATTCTAAGAGAGATGCGGCCGATATATTCGAGAGAAAGAACGCCTCTTTTTTCGATAGAATTAAGGAAAAACTGACGACGACAGCGACGTCGATTAATAACGGCGTGCCAGAGGTAGCCGTAAGTAACGCCAACGACTTGAAATGCTGGTGTACATTTAAAGCTAGTAGCATGGAGGAGCTGGCTTGCCACAAACAGACACACCACACCGCGCTCAGCGTATCCGTGGGCACGTCACGTTGTCCTAAGTGTAGAAGACGTTGCAAGAGTTCCACAGAACTGCAAATGCATATGCAACGCTGCCATTCGCGCAACAACGCAACGTCCATCGATAGTAGTTTAGAGAAAGTAACGAATTGCTCGGATGTCCGCATGACCTCGTACCGTGGCGAGTACGCTTCCGCCGCGCAAATGGACTGGGACGCGAATCACAGGAGACCGAATTCTGGATCCTCGGTACGGTGTACACAGTAACAATCTAAGTATATGCAATAAGAAAATTTACCGCGCGATTCTCTGCGAAGGAACGTGAAATCTGAAAGCAACGCTAAAGCTCAAAACTTTGTAGAATACGGATTATTTATGGTAATTTTTATATGAAGCAAACTCTCGCTGCTATGTGGATATATTTTTTGTCTCTCTTTTTTTTTTGTCCGTAATTTTTTCGTGCCTGTAAAATTAGTTGAAGATATTTCTACGAACTTGTTATTGTTGGTATTAGAAGGATTATGCTGTAGAGACATGTTGTAGAGTATGCAGAAGTATATCGTAAAATATATCTGATTACTGTGTAAAAATCTAGAGCGAGCTTCGTTATTTTTTTTCATTTATTATTAAGAATGTGCTTTACATATTGCATAGTGGATGTCGAGCATCTAACTTCTAGTTTGTTACTAGCTCGTTACATGTCGTTGCTGGGCAGTCCTTTGACGATAAAAATACAAAAATACTTTTGTTAGGTTGAAGGTGGTCCGACGCATCCGAGCGGGCGGCGGGTATTCAAATGTCCCCATTGTCCGTTTTGGGCTTCCACCGCAAGTCGCTTTCACGTTCATATAGTCGGTCATTTAAACCGGAAGCCGTTCGAGTGTTCTATGTGCGCGTATCGTTCTAACTGGCGATGGGACATCACAAAACATATTAAGCTTAAAGCGGCTAAAGACGCAGTGCATACGAGTGCCAGAGTGCTCATGACGGATGAGACAGGCCGACGGAATTATTCCAAGTATAACAAATATCTCGCACAGGTGAAATAATGAATCTCAGTTACATAAGATAATCCATTTGTCCTTCTCTCTCACGTCCGATATCCATATCTAGTATGATGACGCTGACATTGTCTCGCTAAAGAACTTACTCGTGAAAGATTCTCAGCACCACAATTCGGCCACGGCTCGGACACTTGATCACTATTGCATTGTGACAGTCAATTATAAGCATATTCTTAGTAATTAGTGGACAGAAAATATCGATCCTACTTTTCCTCGCGAAAGTTCGATCAATGTTTTCGATGAACCTCTGTGAAAGTCTAACGGAACACCCGCGTCGATTTATCATGAGCGTGATGCAAAATTCTCGGTGACGCGAACTGTTAAACACATTTCATAACATCCAATATATCGTCGAACGTTCGATCGCCAAGCGCCGTTTACACAATGCGGTGCTCTCTCTGTTTCAGGTGGAACAGCAGTCGTGGGATGAGGATCACATGGAGGAGCGTAGCATAGAGGAAACGAATACGGACGAGTCATCGACGAAATTGGTGATTGTAGGCAATAAGGATCACGGTGAAGTGACCGGCGCCGCCGTCACGATCTTGCCGTCAAACGAGGCGAATCAAAACGGTGGCTTGCGACCACCGCCGCCGCTCAAGGCAGCGGTCAAAAATCGCGGGCAGTCCTTGCTGAAAAACAATCCTGTCACGATGCATGTGCATACTCCTAGTGGCGGCGGCGCGGTCTTCATATCCCCGGCGACCGACGAGAACAAACGCACTCAGTGGAAGTGCAAACGTTGCAATTACCGTGATCCCAACAGAGAGAACGTGTTGCAGCACGTTAAATCTCATTACGAATCCGTTGAAGAGCCCGCCGACGAAAAAGTGAGTTCGATGCTGTTACTTACAACTTCGCAGTCGTAGTAACATTCCGCACGCGAATATCCTATTAGTCGGAATGAAGAATGCTTCGCAGAGGCAAATAAAAATAAGCAATACCTTGGTGGACAGTTATGTAATTTCTAAACACAGCGAGCAGTCGAGACGAAACGTGCAAACAGAGCAAAACACATTCCGTCGCGAGACGCCGCTTTGTTTGGAAACATTTTCTTCTCTCCTTTCTTCTCTTTTGAATTTTATAATTTGGTTAACTCGGATTTTATAACCAAGATAACTCGGATTTTGTAACATAAAATAACTAACATAAAATAACTCGGATTTTATAACATAAAATAACTCGGATAATTAAGCAAGTGTGATGTGAGTTATTGTGTTACTGTTTTCGCAGAATCTATTTGATTGTCGGGATTGTCCATTTTCGGCGCCGGACGCTGCCACGTTGTCTCTACACAGGATGCACCATCGACCGAACTTAGAAGCTATATTCAAATGCTATCTCTGTCCATACTACGTTAGTACAAAGGCGTATGTGTCGCTGGTAAAGCGCTTTATTAATTAACAAACGAATGCTGTTCTTTATCTTAGAATTAACTTAGTATTGTGCAATATCAATTGTCTCTTTCATAAAATTAAAAAATTTTATGAAATTCTATGGAAAATGTTATATAATTTTCCAATTTTATCAATTTTGAAAAGAATAATATAATATTCGTCATTATAAATATTTTGATGAAAACATAAAATACCAATTACTATTTTCTATACTACAGAGAACTGCTGGAGCATGCTAGACTCCACGGAGAAGAGCTAGCGGCTATTCATCGTCAAAACATGGATTTCCCTCCAAGTCCGAAAAAACTGCAACAAGTGTCAATTTCCGAAAGTGGTAGGTCTTGCAAATTATACGGCGCGCATAATCCAAGTCATTTGCAGCGATCTAAAACGTTTGTGCGACTAATTATAGGTGTTAATCGATTGAAAGAAGAGACATCCATGGAACAAGTGATTCAGATAACGTCACGCAACAACGTAACGTTAACTCCAAAGGTGTTGGAAGCCCCGCTGCCGCTGCCGCCTCCGTCGCTACTTTTGGACACCCGCGCCTTTCCGGACATTCCGTTGGTCTGGGTTATACGACCGGACGGCACGTTGATGAAGATGCTCAAGTGTCGCCACTGCCCGTACGTTTCGTCGCGGTACGCGGAGGTCCGTGATCACGAGACGATGCACGTGGACATGCCAGCGCAGGGGCCATTGATTGCCTGTACAGATTGCAGCTTCACTTGCACGCGTCGTGAAGTCATGATCGCTCATACGGATATGCACGCGGGATCCCAGGGCATCGTTTACTGTCTCGTGGACGAGACACGGCCGGATTTGCAACAGCTAAGCGATGTAGCGTCCCTGCTTAACATGAGGGACACTCCTGCACTGGGCGCCGAGCCGGATCTACACGATTCCCGTCTGGTGCACTGTTGCGGCAAGTGCCCGGCGCGGTTTCTATGCGAGAAGGAGTTGCGCATCCATTTGCGCTATCACTCGACCGAGTTGGCGTATACGTGTCAATGGTGCTCGTACGCGGCGCGGCAGCCACAGCACTTGCTGACCCATCAGAAGGCTCATTCGACGGAGTATCAAGATCGCACCAAGTATCTGCTGTCCGTATACGGACACTCGCAACGTTATCCACCGCCCGCGACGGCATGCGTCGAGGCCGGGAATCAGGAGACCAACGAAGGCACGTCCAACGTCGCGTGGATTGTCGTTGAAATCAACGAGAGCTCCTACAACAGCGCTACCAATCAAAGGACCGACAATCAGGTGTTCACGTGCGCCAAGTGTCCGGCGCGCTACTTCAAACTCGACGCCCTGGAGTATCACATGACGCTGCACGGTTCCAACAATCGGTACAAGTGCAACGACTGCGACTACTCGTCGAAAACCGCGCAGAACCTGGTGAAGCACCAGGTGGTGCATCGACGGCAGAACGACAGCGGTAGCGAGATAGCTGTGACTCCCGTTCCCGCCGCATCCGCCTCCGCCGCCGCGATTCTGCAGCCACCGCCGGATCCGCAATTCGGCGTCTTCATGCGCGGCAATCCCAACTTCGTTTATCCGGGCTATCTGCGAAACGGCCGTCTGAAGGAGAAGCGTTACAAGTGCCACAAGTGTCCGTCCGCCTTCGAGAAGCGCGAGCAGTACAGGATTCATCTGACATTGCACGGCGCGAAGCAGCGTTACCGCTGCGACACGTGCGACTACTCGGTCAAATACTATGCGAATTACGTGCAGCATCTGAAGAAGCATCAGGCAAACGCGGAGGCGCAGGCGTTGCGCAGACGATTCGAGGACGACAGGATCTCCGTGGATAGCGACAGCATCCCCGACGTCACCATATTCACATCGCGTTCCGGTAAAACCTTGCGATCGACCACCGGTGCCATTAACACGTCCAGCAGTAACGCGTCTGCCGTGAACGCTGCGCTGCAAACTTCAAATCAGGATAAGCAGAGCCTCCTGTTGATGCAGAAGAAGGGAATCATCTCGCCGACGGGCGACACCAATACGGAAACGATCCGCTGCCAGAACTGTCCGTTCTCCACCATTGACAAGGACGCCATGGACGCTCACAAGCGTCGCCACGGCATCGAGCGCATGACACCGCCGTGCCCGCACTGCAACTACATTCCGCGCAAGGACGAGAATCTCAACGAGCACATCAAGCTGCATTTTACACGACTGTATAAGCCCGAAGCATATCTCATCGTTGAGCTATTGACGTTAATGATGGAGAAGGTACCTGCGAACGGCAAGGAGCTAAAGGACAAGGTCAATCAGCGGACAAAGGAGATTCTGTTCAGAGAGAGCGCCGACGGTAAATTCCTACCATTTACCGAACCGACGCACTCTACCTCTCTAAGTAAATCCACGACGAAGAACACGTCGAAGCAGAAAGTCATCGTGGATCCGAACACGGGCGAAACTAAAAATCATTCCGCGTAATTTCTATTTGTTGATTACGATCACGCGGACATTTATGTTTTTATGCATTTTTCTATATAAGAATCGCAATTGACGAAATATATACGTGCGTTACCATCTCGCGAATGATAATTACTATACAATTGAGTAAACAAAATATAACGAAACGCGGTAGATTTGATCAAATTATTATATAATATAATATCAATTCGAATAAATTTATGCAGAGAGAATCTGTTGACAGATTTTGCTCGACGCAATAAAAATACGCTAATTTATTGAAATATTTGTTCGGTGTACTGTTAATATTTTGCTTACCGACTTATAACAGACACTTTGCGAAATACTGTTTTCATAAACTTGATTGTTGATTACTGCAAATTATAAAAATAAGTAATTTTGTTTTCGGTGCAATTAATGAGTAATATATCAGGAATTATCGTCGTAAAGTTAGAAATAAATTTTTATGAGATTAGAGAGATAAATGAATATATAATACATGTGAATATATAATACATGCTTTGTTCGATTATATTTGTTACTTTTTGTATTCACGATTGATTAAAACATTGTTGAATAACTTCGAGCGATAATGAGTGTGCGTGTACATACTCGACATATATACGAAGTGGATCAAATATATATTATATTTTGTTAATTCGATGGCGCTACACGAGAGATGCCACATGATCCTTAATGTACATATTTATTTGAGATTGTCAGTCTTGTACAATAAATGATAATAAATGCTCATATTGTATACATATATAAAAATGTTTATTTTTGCATTTTAGAGATTTAAATATATATTTTATATAATGATTTTGATATTGATTTTACAAGGTTTCACAAGTTTGTTTAATTAAGGATAAAAACTGAAACTATTTTTCTTCATAAAGTTATTTATGTATATAGATATCGGAATTGTTAACAATTTTTGTGTTTAATGAACAATCTTTATGAATTTGTTTTATTTAATTTAAATTTTACACTTTAAGTGTACAAAGGTGTAAAAAGAGCAGGCGAATGGCGACCATATGGGCATTGCGGCGAAGACGAAGTTCGAGATCAATAAAGATTGCGGAGGCGTCGCGCATGACTGAATTATTTTGCGAATTGCAACAATCTTGAGGTTATGATGACGACCGGGAGGGCTAGGTTGATTTCAGTTGACCTCGTCGTCTGGCTCGCGTGAGGTATAAATACAAGTGGTACAGTGCCTTGGGACAGACGACGACGATGTTCGAGGGGGCTATAGCGGCATTTTTGAACCGCCTGTTGGGCAGGTACGTGGAGGACCTGGACACGGAGCAGTTCAACGTCGGTATTTTCTCCGGGGATACGTGCCTCACCGACCTGAAACTGAAACCGGAGGCTTTGGTACGAATTTTCTCCGATGATACGGGAGCGATATAGAATACACTTGTGTGTTCATACACTCTGGTGCATTTATGTTTTCAGTATCAGCTGGGATTACCTATTAGAGTAGAGATTGGTCTGATAGGAAAAATTATTTTGAAGATACCATGGTCCGGACTTTTCTCGCAACCTATTGTGATATGCATAGAGGTATCAATTAGCGGTATCACGAGCGGTCACGCCGTATTATCGAAATCTTGGTGTTAGGTATGAATACTTCTGTTTCTTTCAGGACATATACGCAGTAGCAGTACCTGCATTATCTGGTCCATACGACCCAGAGATACAAAAACGCCTGATAAGAGCGGAGAAAAAGAAGATACTTGAGGATCTTAAGGAAGATGAAGTGTTTAGAGCTGGTAAATAGATATTTCTTATCCAAATATATTACTTATTAATTAAATGTCTTATGGATGTTTTCCCCATAGGTTTACCTCCTCAATTATTCGACAGTTTACTGGCGTCAGTGACAAAGAATTTCCAGATTACTATAAATAATGTACATATTAGATATGAAGAGAAAATTTTGCGCAACTTCCTCTGTGCCTGTGGTATATGTATACAAAGTATATCGATAACGACTACTAACAAGTAACTTGATCACGCATATTGTCACATTTCTCCCGATTATCTGTGCCCAATATGTGTCATTACAATTGATGAATTCCAGCAAATGGAAGCCTGGAGTGTGTGCTACAAATTCGCAGACGGTGTACCAGCTTGTACGCGCCGAGTCGCTCAGTGTATACATGGACCATGATACTGAATCCTGTATAAATATCCAGGGCAATTGGGACATGGCCAATCTCATCGCATGGAAAAGCACAATGCACAGGGCTCTGCAGACGTTTGGGATGAAAAACAAAGACTTCCAGTTTTGTACGTTTTGAGATATCATTTGTCAGTTATATATTGTTAATTTAGAAAGAAATATTTAATTCCTGTCTCGGTTTTGATAAAAATTTTTTTTTTTGTCAAAAGTGCTGAAGCCTTTCACGGCCAAGATCAAAGTCATTATACACAAAGGCACGGAGATGCAAGCTTCTCGTATGTTAGTGGATGTCGTGCTCCAAGATGTAGCAATGCAGCTGTCCGAGGCACAATACGCTACGTTTTGTCATATTCATGATTCTATGTTGCGTGCAACTGTTAATAGGTGAGTACATACATATATTTTTCAATGAATCGACAAAGCCAATGGATTAAAAAATATTACATGATATTTGCAGGCCGCATGTTAAATATCGCCCTGATAAAAGCGTGTACGAGGAAGCGCCATCTTGGTGGAGATACGCGTATAATTCCGTTTTGGATCATTACATTAAACCGTACACTTGGTCGCACATAGTTGAGCATAGGAAAAATTACAGGAAATACAAAGACGCGTGTATCCAAAGTTTGCAGCGACCAAACGATACAGAGTTGAAGTTAGATATGCAAAAATATGAAGACAACCTGACAATTGTAAATATAGTGATTGCGAGAGAGCACGCTAGACAAGAATTGAGAAATAAAGATATCGAGCGTGAGTGCCAAATTACAGCAACGAGTCCGTCGAAAGTTAAAGCAGAAACTGTATCACAGAGTAACGATCAAGCGCAAGATATAACAGATCAATGCAACAAAGAAGAGAAGCAAAAATCATTGACGGATGCAACAGACAATTTCTCTGGTTTAAAGATAAAATCAGAAAAGGTGTTGAAACAAATTGGTAAGCACATTATTAAATTTTTTTATGTAAAAATATAATATTAATTAAGAATTTTTGAAAAATATAGACGTATCAAAGTCCTTTGATCTCAAGTCCTTGTCTGACACAAGCATTTTATTTGTTTGCAGATTATAAATTAAACTTTACTTTGGCGAACTGCTGTCTGAGCCTTTTAAACAAAGGCAAGGAAATGCTGATCGTAACTGTTACGCAATTTCTGACAAGTATTGAGGCACGGCCTATATTGTTAGCTTTCAAGATATCGGCTCGTGCTGAAAGTTTTGTAGTCGAAGCTATATCAACCGACGGTGATTTAGTTCCTCTGATTACAGTGGACAATGTGTTAACCGGTAATACGCTTATTTATCTTTGTAAATAATTTGAAAGCAGATACTAATTCCATTATATGTAACAGGGAATGTGTCGACATATTTCTTGGCTATAGATTTCGAGAAGAATGGTCTAAATATGGATCCCATTTTTGAAGTATCCATGAAATTGGAAGCTATTGAAGTGACTTATCATCATGTAATAATGCTTTCATATTTCTATTGTTGAATTTAAATAATGTTTCAGTTCTAATTTCTATATTATCACGTGTTTTTTTTTTCAGTTCGCTATGGTGGAGATTATAAACTTTTTCAAATTCAACACCAGTTACATTCACAACACAGTCCTCGGAGTATACAGACTGTGGGACTGCGCGAAAAGAAAGTATTTGAGTTTCGTGGACGATATTGTTTCGCAGACATTAAGAATCAGCTTCAAGATAGACATTAAAAGTCCGTACATTATATTTCCTGAATATGGATCGATTCAAAAGTACGTATTACACATTACGAACGTGTTTTACGACATATCAATGTAAGATTATTATTTTCAATATGATTAAACTTTTTTTCAGAGGTGGACATATACTTGTTTTGGATTTCGGTAACGCGACATTGACCAACGAGCTTCAGGCGGCGAATTTGCAATTGGAAGACGCCACTCTTATGGAACTGGAAGAGCTACTCTATGACAGACTTAACATAGTATTCTCCGGCGCGCAAATTTTGTTTTGCCATTCGGGCGACGATTGGCGCTCGGCGAGGAAGCGAAGTGATTCGGAGTTTCATTTGTTACCCAAGCTACAAGCGAATGCAACCCTTTCGTATAGTATCAGACCAGAATATCGTCAATTACCACGGTAATTTATACATTATTGTGCTGTAATCTTTTATTTCTGCATTGTCTTAACGTTTAATATTCCACAGAACAAAACTTAATGTAAACATCTCAAACGTAAAGTTTAATCTATCCGAAAACAAGCTGCGGCTGATGGCGTATTTCTTAAATAAACTGCTAACACTGTACGAAAACAACATTGAGAAGTTTAAAGGTGGCTTAAAAGGTTCTACTTCCGAGCGAAAATCCAGCATTGTTTTTACCACAGCAAAGTTATTAATGAAAGTTCAATCAAGTGTATGCCTGCCATCCTGTATTGCAATGATGCATAGTGATTTTAAGCCCGTCATCAAGGAAGTTGTGACCAACAGTGTACCAAAGCTCGATAGGTAATGATGATATAGATTTACTAATGATAAAGACATATACTGATAAAACAATTCTGATTTCTCATTAGGAGCGTTGTTTCTTCGGAAGTCAGTGAAGAAGACTTGGAATTATTATCCAAAACGATTAATTTGTGCGGATTCGACGATAATATATCTCCGTGTAATCATATTAATCTGTTGCTTCGATTCGCCATAGGAGAGGTAAGTGGTGTTTTTATCAAATATCCATATTTTATCGTATGAAATGATGTATCATTAATATATATTCTGAAATTTAGTTCTCCATAAATCTGGAACACATGGTAGATAGCCGAGAAGAGCCTTATTTGAATTTGAGATTACACACTCTGTATTACGAAATGGCTATGATGGAATACGGTGTCGCAGTTCAGTTTGGCATTGGATCCATTTTTCTGGTCGACAAAACGAACGCTGGCGTTACCGGATCATATTTGGAATTGATATCCACCGACGAGTCGTACGAGGTTGTCGTTGTGTCGTACCGTAAAGTAAGCTGAATGTTTAGTAAAGATATAGTGCAACGAAGGCCAATGTAATTTTAAAGTAAGCGATGTCGTTTGCAGATCGCTGCTGGTATTTTTAACGTCATTAGTTAATAGCGGCTAATATTAACTGAAGATGTTAAAAATACCAGCAGCGGCTGTTGAGTGACAACATTTGTTTTAAAATTAACAAAGTCGTTCCACTCTTCATTCCACTTTACCTCACCTTCGCCTACGTATTGTATTGATTTTCTTTTCAGGTTAAATCAAATTGTCCTGATTTCAAGTCGCACTTCAAAAATATCGAACGCTCGCTAGTTGTGAATCTGTTGAATATTAATATAAACTTTCATAGATCCGCGTTATTGAAAATTAGAGACTACTGGCGCAAAATTCAATCGTACGTAAAACAGTTTTATACGCAAGACAGCAAAGTAATCTTGATGCACATTCAAGAGATACTGATTTGTATTTATTTATTTCAGTATTTGTCATCTCACACTTTTATTTAAGTTTGCTGAGAAGACTTGCAGTAATATTATGAAATGGGAACAGAGCGACGTTGACCCACCCATTCCACCAGGTATAAATACGCTTTTTAAATTGTGCATTTAAAAAAATCTTTGAACGGAAGATCAATCAATGTCATATTTTTTCAGGCGCAATTAAACTGAATTATTCAACTAGGCTCAGCTCGTTGGTGCTGCGATTTTGTGATAAGGACATAGATTTAATGGAGGTCAAGATTTTGGGTTTGGAAAACGATTGCATTTACAATGCGAACGAGAGAATGGTGTTGCGTGTACATCTCAGGAGTATTCTCGCTGAAGACTTAAACGATGATACGCTTTACTCTAAAGTAATTACCTAGAATATACATACATATTTTTTTTTCAATTATATGACATATATATTTTATTTTATTTCAAGATTTTGGCGACCGATGAAGATAAAGTTTTTGATCTGAAGTATGTAAGGCACACGCCAAAATTGTATAAATGCTCGGATATCGATACAAAGCAAGACGATGTGATGTCGGACGGTACCTTTAAACTTTCCATTGGACGCATCAATTGCGTGATAATTTCTAAAATTCTATACGATTTAAGGGTACAGTAGATTTTTATCTCACGTTTGTGTGTGTGTAATTATTTAAATATTCACTTTAATGTCATTTTTGCAGAATTTCATAAGGCCATTTACCTCTGCGTATTATACACATTTCTTAAATTATTTGGAATATAAGTTCGTGACTGGGATCGAGTTGTTCAAGAGGAGCGCGACGAAATTGCATATTTTTATCGATATTCAAGGGCCTACTTTTTTGCTACCTCAGAAAAAGGATGCTCCGAGTCTTTTGGTCTTCGACACAGGTATAAAGTTGTATCCGAAGCAGACGCGATTGGAGAACTGAATTTAATAGAATTGATTTGCAGGTGTGCTATCGGTTGAAAACTTCTTTAAGAACAGTGGACAACAAATACAAACGATTAAAACGGCCGCCAACGATGGCAGTCAATTAATAATCGACAATATTTTGATCAAATTGAAATCTGTGACTATATCCAGAGCAATTATGACGTTGACTCGAGATTTAGAAGTCCAGGTAAAATTAAACGCTTCAATTGCCCTGTGGAAAATTATTATTACTATAGAAACATTACATTCGAAATTATTTCAGGAACCTATCATTGAACCTATACAAATTCAGTTTGATATTAAGAGGAAAACCGAGTACCGTAGCTTCATAGAGTTTCAAACTTATGGTTTATTCAATGTGCAGGGAGCTATCGATGTTATAAATATAAACTTAAGCCAGAGGGACCTCAAGTCCCTCATATCAGTGTGGCAGGATAATATCTCGAAGATACCATTGTTGAAGAAAGCCGGCGAAAATGATGATCGAACTTCTGCACAGAACGCCCAAAAGAATATCGATCACGACGACGATGTCATGGTGCAAAAATTGGAAGATTTCTTGACTCACAATGAAACGGCGTTGTGCGAAGTTAATGTGAAACTTGCATTGGAGGGATTGCAGTTGAATTTGTTCATGGATACGGAAGAGGTGGATATTGACATTTGTGCGAACATCGATGTTTCAGCTTTAATTTTTACATTATTTCTGTCACGTTGCAGGTGTTGAGTTCTCCCGTGCGCGATTTGAATCACGGTTTGTGCAAGCTGTGTTTCGGAGAAACTATCAACACTTGGGATCTTTACAGCGACAAGAGCTTGAGAATGAAATTATCTTTGCAGAATTGCTTAATGCAGGACACTCGTAAGGACTCCGTTGTCGAAAAGAGGTTTGTACTACTGATTTTCCGCAGGATAAAATATCGTCAAGGTTTATAATCTCGTTTTATGTTTTAGGATACTACAATCGCCGGCGATATCCTTGGAGAAGAATTTAGAATCCTGTATTTCTGTGTCAATGTCGCCTATAGTCGATGTCACATATAGCCGCACGCAAGCGAAGGAAAAATGTCTCGATGTTCTTATTCAGGATGTGCGAATTAATTTGTCGGTTCCTTTCTTGATGCACTTGGGACGGTACTTCCTGGACTCCTTGCCCAGCGAGCAGATAGAGAAAGGAATCATCAATCATGGATATGACAACAACAATCAAGCGGTAAATATAACGTCATTTAATTAGAAATATTAATGAAGATTTTCAATATTGATTTCTTTATATCACAACAATATTTTCTAAATTTGTTAACTGAATTAATTCCATAAATGTATTTGATCTTAATCAAGAACCGGAATGCATTAAACGCAGAAACTGACAAATTAAATCGCTCCCAGTATTTTAAGGAGCAACCAGGTATTTTGCTATGTGTATATATATACATATATATCTTTTGTCGAACAACATGTTATTACATGTGTGAATTTTTGCACAACTTAAATTTTTTGTGAAAAATAAAACGAGTTCTGAAATTCTGTTTAGGTACTTCTGTGTCAATTAGAATACAAAAGCCGGACATCTTTCTGTTCGGTGACTTAGAGAAGAGTAATACACACACGATACGAATGCAAGCAGAAGTGTTTATCGAAAGCAGCATACATGGCTGTTCTTCCTCTATAGTCTGCACTTTGACCAACGTCAATGCCAAGACTAAAGGACAGGGAAATTATGAGTCTCCGTATTGGTTGTTACGTCCCTGTGATATAGAAATCTGCAAGAAGAAAGAGTTGTCAAACGGTAACGAGGAGATTACCGTCGACATAAATAGTGTTAACATACACCTATCGGCGGAAGTGATCCACACTTTTATCGAAGTAAGTATTGTGATTTAAGGTACATCTGGATATTGAAATGCGACCGTCTTTGAATTTGTTTATACTGTACATCGTGTTCCAGATATTGAGTGAGGCGTCGACTTTTCTAAACAGTCTTACGTTGAAAGTAGATGACAGCAACAATCAAAATATCAATGTGAACAATAATCTTTGGACGCCGAAGAAAGTTTCCAGTATACCATATAAGAAAACCGACGAAGGTAAATGTTTCGCGTACACCACAGATTATTTGAATCCTGTTATTGCAGTCGTTTAAATAACTTGTGTTTTTAATTGTGTTCTTTAGATCACCCAGAATTGTATCGCCGCCGTAACGATCATGTAATATTGAATTTGAGACCCGTATTAATGTGTTTGCTGCTGGAAATGGAGTATTCTGTGGGAAGATTTCCGGTGATGAAAATGGAGACTGTCATTACGACCACCATTAATGACTGGCACAATAATTTCCATCTTGAATCCAATGTGAAACTTCACGCATTCTGCTACAACAGAGCTCATCAGAATTGGGAGCCGTTTGTGGAATTTTGCACGAAAGACGATGTAAATTATAAGCCATGGGAACTAATTATCAAGGTAAGATTATCATGTTGCGCCGTTGAATTATTTATTACCGTTGCTTTATATTGCTCATAATTTGATTTCTTCAGACGTATCGGGGCGAGGCAAATATGATTAACTCTAATTGGACAGATCCTTGTCATCATGTCAAGCAAGATCCAACAAAGGCAAGAAAGAGGGACATGAAGTACAATGAACAGGATGTAACAGACATGATATTTATTGGACCTGATACTGATGTGATCTCATTGACGAAAAGCGGTAAGTTCATGAGCTAATTATATACAACTATTATGTAACATATTAAAATCGATTCAGCCAAATGTTAGCAAATTGATCAAATTTGCTGTTAATCTATCATCATTGCCAATATTTTGCTCACTTGAAATTAATTGTGTAATGAGCAGATCTGTTTATTTTTCAATAAACAGAACCTGAAACCTGTATTACGTACGAGGATGAATCCGATACGGATGACGACGAAAATGATGCGAAGTTTACGAGAATCTCGAATTATCTATTTAATAACAACAGCGATGACGAAGAAAGCGATTCCGACGACTCGAGTGCGAATGAGGACGAGGAGATGGAATCGTTGGATTGTAATCCCGAACCTTGTATGTGAATTCCAAATTTCGCAGATATATCAACTGTTCTATTAATGCGTCGTTTTAATATCACATTTTACACGCAGATAACACTAATGTGCGCGCTCCAGGGAGAACAAATCTCTCGGCGCCGCATATTATTTTGTATTCGGAGGACAGAATTAATATCACTATAACGCAAAACATGATTGCGACATGGAACGCAATCTCGAGCGCATTCGCACAAGCCAAGGGCGGAATCCCGTTTGTGCCCGCTAATACGCGAGAGTTGACTGTATTGAACGATATTGGTCACGCGAGCCGAGTAGAGCTGCTTGTGCAAGAGCAAGTAAATAACTTTTGTTAACACATCAACTATTTGAATATTTGTGTCCGATTAAATTTTTTTTTTGATAAATTATAAAAAATGTTTGTATATTTATGTATCTATTTTGTTCTAAATTTTTTATATATAAAATTCCATTGATTTTTTAGGTCGACGGAAACAATATCACACGCGTCATCGCTGCACAAAATTTTCACGATGGAAACTCGCCGACCAGCGTACCAAGCAGTCCGGAAAATGAAACCCAAACAGATCTCAAGAGTCCTCAGTGGGTTGGCAAGGAAACCACTGCGATCATGTCGGAATGTAAAGTTTTTCCCACCGATTCGCCAGTTTACATCTATAAATCGGTAACCGGCGAGCTTCTTCGTGTCAGTTTTGAAGGTAGCTTTTGTATTAAAAGTAAATTTATAAAAATGCCAAAAAAATGTAATAAATAATAATCTTTATTCTTAGGTTTCGAAGATGTGCTGGTGTACTGTCCGCAAAAGGAAACACGAAATCTCGTGCCGCTTCGTCCTGTGAGACACGAGGTTCGTTACTACTTGATGATAGAGGCGTCGATAAACAGCTACCTACATCGTACAATTTGCGTGCGATCTCCGTTACAGGTGCGAGTGGCTTACCTATTTGTTTTACGTTATCGTCTTCTATCTTCCATTGACCGAAAGACATATTTCAGTTTCGAAACGAAACGTCGTACGCGCTGGGACTTTATTACAAGAAAGCGGTGCTGGACAAACTGGGTCTAGTGCCGACCGGTGAAACCACAAATCCTTTCGACCATAATGTGCGAATGGCGATCATCGAACCGGATGCGACTTCTAATATTCCTCTGTACATCGCTTATCATTGCCCGATACACATTCTTCCCGCCTATCTAGAGTAAGTCAGGAATGTCAGAGTGAATTTGTAGGATTATTTTGATGAAAAAATGGAAAATTTGACTATCTGAAATGTTAATGATTATGTTATTCGCAGGAAATACCAAGTCAGTGACGAAGGGATTTATTGGAAAGACTTGAGGGGTACAGCAAACACATTTAAAGACGTGTCCTGCAACACGAAGGGCGACACTAACCACAATGTATTCTGCGTCAGGGCGATATGCACGGAAGTTTCATTAACGACCCGTCCCTCAGGCTGTCAAGTGCCGAATTACTTGATAAATATTATACCGCCAGTTGTTTTTAACAATCAGCTACCCTTCGTAATCGATGTCAGTTTACCTAACATCAATTACGAAGTGAAGATCGAACCCGGGGAGAAAATAAACATGCACTCCTTCGATCACAACAGCAACGTGCAATTCATTTTTAAAGTGAGTGTGAAATTGTCATTTGAAAGATAATCAGTTATACGCAAGTTGTACTGCACTCTTTAATTACACACCGTCTCAATAATTTTATATAGATACACAACTATTTAGGCACGTCTTGGATGGGCGCGATCAAGCTGAATATGAATGTAGAACGAAAGTTCGTGCTGATGTCCGCAGATAACGAGTCGGACTTAACGAAGCCCTTCTTGCTGTGCCTGGAACTCTGCAAGATTCTCAGCTGGAACATCATCGTGCAGTCGCAGTATTGGATAATAAATAAGTCCGGTTTGCCGTTGTTTATTCAGGTGAGTCGCGTAACAGCTTGACTTCTCAATCGATAACAATGATTCACTAATACTTTTCTTTTTCCAGGATTACCAGTCTCACAGAATTTACGAGATGCCGGAGGAGGAGCTAATGGTGTTCTCACAAAAGAACAATAAGAAGAGCATGGTGCGATTAAGAGCTCATCAATCGGAATGGTCAACGCCGTTCGGGCTGGACGGGCTCACGTCGATGTCATTGATTATATGTCGGGACATCGAGCGCGGACGGAAGTATCAGATTCTAACGGAAATAGAGAGCTCCCGTTTGTCACCGATCTTCACCAAGATCATAACGTTCCTGCCGTACTTCTTTATAAGCAACAAAACCAAAAAGGCTCTAAGGTTCATGGAGGAAAACGAGGAGGCCGATCTTTGGAACGATCTCTTACCCACGCAGGAAATGTCGTTCTGGCCTGCCACCGAGTCCATGAAAATGAGAATAAAGTGGAGGAACAGTCAATTAGTCTCGCAGCATTTCGATATCACGCATGTGGGAAAAACTGTGCTGAGAATGGATAACGGGGTTAATATATTATTGATAGATTTTATATATATATGTCATTTATTTTGTGATTCAAGAATCTCAAAAATTTTATGATTCACAGTCGGCACTGTGCGTGGATATCGAAGGCGGCATAAATATGCCGTATCGCATAACGTTCCGAAGATACGTCAGCGGTGACGTACCCGTGAGAGTGGATAATATCTGCGACAAACTATTTCTGAAGCTGAACCAAGTCGGTTTGGGTCAAGTCGCTTTACTCAAACCGTTCCAGAGTCTGCTGTACACTTGGGACGATCCTACTCAGACCAGAGAATTAATCTGGAACGTTTACAATAACAGTGCGATCGGCTATAAAGCACAATTCGAAACGGTAGTATAAACACCTTTAGTCTTGTTATTAAGTATTCTAATTTTTGACAAATTCTGTAAATTTTGCACCTTTTACGAATTTAAATCGTTTTAAGAAAAACTTATTTCTCAGACTAATTTTCAGAATTAATTTTTTAATTTCAACTTTATAGTTAATTTTTGCGCGAGCTTATTACTTAGCATTTTCGTGTATTTCAGGATGGCTGTGGACACGAAAAAGTGTCTTTCATAACCGTTGAACGGCGCGACAGCGCGTCTCATTCTTCCCTCACCCCTAAATCGCTGGCGAACACAAAACCGTCGTGGTCAGAGGACACAAACGGAAGTGTCACTCCCCTACCTAGCGCGGAATCCGAAACGAAGACCGCGTTAGAAAATGTGCGACAGGACGAAACGGAGGTTTACTGGGTGAGTTATATGGAGGGCGAGCAACGTGTGCTGCTGTTCACGCAGCACGAGAGCGTGTACCTGAAAGCGAAAAGCATCATCGATCCCGAAGCGAGTAAGAGAGAGATGTTCCTGTCGATTGCGGCCATCGGAATCAGCGTTGTAAGTGAATGCGAAAAGTAAATCAGTAGTTATTGTTTTATCTGTAACAAACTAAAGACAGATTAACTTTTCCACAGGTCGTACAAGAATCTAGTCTCCACAATGTCAGACGTGAGTTACTGTACGCCAGTGTGATGGACTCCGCCGCACATTGGGAGCTTTCCTTCAGCAAACGATGGAGGAGCCTATCATTGGAATTGAGCGCCTGGTTGGAAAATAAGTACACGAATTCCGCGAAGGCAGCACAACTGGAAAATTTCATTGACGTACGATAATACAATTCTAATACAGTTTTTTAATTTATAATAGACAGTTATTTCATCTGCAAAATTCATTTTTTGGAAATAATACTGTCTATAGATTTTATTTTCAAAAATTTTAACAATTCTTTCCGAATGTTTTCCAGGTTGATTTCACGAAAATGCAGATGACGAAACCGTTCTTCGGCAAATTGCGAAGGACGTATTCGCCAGGTATCTGGTTGCACTGCAGGGAATCCGCGACGCTTTGCTACTTGCAGGGATACGTTCACAGGATACAGGTATGTGCTGTGTGCGAATGTAAAATTGTAATATATTTGCAATGACAATTTTTCTTGTCTCGCAGATTGATAATCAACTGAGCGAAGCCACTTTTCCAGTAATCTTATATCCCAGCCTGCAAAAGACTTTCGTGAATTACGCCGGAAGTCGCAGGTTGAAGCATTGCTTAGAATTCTCGTACCTGAAGCAACGAAAATTGAGGAACACCGTTTACAAGTGCGTATATGTAACTATATTGTCATTTATAAATTATGATAAATATCATAAAAAATAATTTTCAAACGATACTCTTCTAGAGGCATATGCGTTATTGCCAGAGAGCTAAACTTGAATCTGGAAGAGACGTTCCTTTGCTCCTTGTTCAACTTGATTCCTAAAACACCGGAAACCAAACACTCAATCGCCGCCAAACTCAGGCGAGACGTGTCCAATGTGCGCGTTCCTTCGGTTCAGAAGATGACTAATGTAATGTTATATGATACACAAACTAACCTAATTTGTACGCATTAATTTTAATCAATACGCGTGTATGCGATGCAGAATGCGGCCAGCAAGAGGAAAGACTTAATAGAGCAAATATACATTTCTCCGATGGTTCTGCGCTTGAAGTTGCTGGCTAACACGGATGGATCTAACACACGCAATTTCAATAATGTGCTCGATTATCACAATATTCTTCGATTTATCTTCGAATACGCGGAAAAGGGCATGTTCGAGAGGAACGTTGAATTCAGGTGAACGATTGCGGTTTGATGAAAATGATGAGTCCGCAATAGCGATCTGATTTATCTTCCTTTGCCGCTTAGATTGCCCAGCTATCGAAAGAATTTCATTACCGCCAACAATGAGGAATTCTTCTCGCGTCTCTCGCAGACTTATGTAGCGCAGATTATGGAGCAGGTTCATGTATTGGTACGCTTAACTACCGTCTTGGGAAACCAGTATGGCTACAACTTCAAATCACCGGGGAGCAGTTTTTGCGAGCCGGATTTGGTAAGCGCTCAAGTGGCCGTGAATGCACGAAGTATTCGTCGTTTCTACGCAGCGCGTTAATCACGATGATCTTGCAGTTATTGCTGTGCGGCGACGAATCTGCGGAGAGACTGGCGCATGAAATTACATGCGAGCTGGGCTACACTACGCCTGACGGCATGCAGGTCTCGATTTTAAACAGCAACGAAACTCACACGCTTCATTCCAAGGTAGGCACAAAAAATCGCCGAACAAGCGGACGTTCTTTAAGCCTTGAAAAGAAATTTGGATGTGTTTTAGCGAAACTTGCAAACACTTGTCATAAATTTTTAATTTTTTACATTATCCAGAGGATTAAACTTTTTATTTTAAATTATTAATTGAAAAGAAAAAAATATGATTTGATTTCTAGTATTGAAAATATCAGAAATCGTTGCCTAAGAGATTCTATCTATGCAAAACATAACGCATTTTCTACTTCGTTCTAGATGAAAGATATAAGTTATCAGAATCCGGATATACCGCCCTTAGCATTCTTAATTGATCACTCGTTCGCTGTGGAGATCGATTTGGAGACCTCCGGCTTGATCACTACGTCGACAAACAGTGAGTGGATAGATAGTCCTAACATATGAATCGATGTGAATGAGAGCGTATATAATCGTAGTGTAAACATCTGTTCTTTCGCTCGAACGTTGTCGTTTCACTTCTGGCTCGTCGGCTTACTACTAAATTTTTCAAAAAAAAATCGCAGGCGTTCACCGCGAAGAGTCGAGATATTTTTTCAAAACATTGGGAAAGAAGATATCCGTGTTGTTCAAGGCGGAAAGCTCTTGTTCGAAAACTCACTCGAAAGTAATAACAGACGTGATAAAAAGGTATTGAAATTAATGATATTGTTGTTTTTTTTTTCGCATACCGCTGGCGTTGATCTTAAGAGTGAGCCGTTTATTTTTGCAGAGCGCAAGAAGTAGGACATAATTTTGTATCCCGAGTGCGATTGCCGCGGTATATTAATCCACACTTCGTGAGTATCGTGAGATGCCGAATTAGGAATCTGTTCTCCGTGCTTCGTGTCGTTAACTATATCGTTATTTAAGGGCGTGGAACTGTTCTCAACGCACAAGGCGAAGGGAGCGTACTTATTGAACGCTATAAGCAAAGGTCACTGCGGCCAGAATGATTCTTATTGGGGACACGCCGCGCTGCACAACGATGGCAAATACATTACACTTGTGTCTTTGCAGTAAGTCTGACAGTAATTGCATAGATTGTTACACACCCATCTTTTATCGTCTTTTCTGAACTCTTTGATCAATTTAAGACTTCTGTTTCTTTACCGCAGTCACCTCTCAGCACCTTTCTCCTACTGCAGCCTTATATTAAAAGCGAAGAATTTTTTGCAAAAATTTGTTTATTTAAAGGAATTCGTATTTTTTTTTATACGATATTGAATAATATAGATTGGTAAATATGTTAATTTTTCCTTTTTTTATTATCTTGTATCAGAGAATGCATGTACCACATTCAGTTTATAAATATTCTGTTTCCAGTATAAATGGATGTCATAAAAAATTTAATCCAGATCAATCTATGTTCAAGATTTAGTTATTTATCGATCCAATGAAAAAAGAAATCTCTTCAGTATGTTTTACCAATCTATAATATCAAACTGATAAAATGACGTGCAAAAAAAGGCTAATATTATTCAACGTAATGTAAGAATAAAAATTTGACACGATTTTTCGCGCCTGACGTCATAATTTAATATAACTGCAGCAACGAAGTAGTAGCCTTAAAGGTGAAAGGTGGCTGGCTAGATCTAAGAAACCTTGTACAGTATAACGAATTATTCACAAGCACATGTATTTCTTTAATATCAACGGCGGGAGATCTTAAAAATAAAGTCATATTAATACTTGAATCTGGAATGCAAAAAGAAATGGATTCTTTCTTGCATTTTTAGCCGAATACATTATATCGAGAAAGGAAGCACGTGGGGATCGTGGAACGTGAAGTGGACTTTAGAAACGAATCAACTGCTATCGCCGCCGACTATTGCTAGAAACAAGCTTATTTTGCAAGTAACAGAGGTAATTATCTTGACACGTTCCAAGCACTAATTTAGCACAATTACTTTTGAAACATAACGAGCTGAGGCATTATTGTATTGCACAAATTTGTCGAAATTGCACGAGTTTTCTCGTTAAACGGATTCGAGGATCAACATTAGAATGCACGGCATTGAAGAAACCAATAAAGTATCTTGCAAAAATATCATTCAATCTTCCTCGTTACTTTTTCGCTTTAAGAATCAAGTGACGAGATGTTTTTCTCAAAATTGTGAGAAATAAAAATGTGTAATAAAAAAAAAATTAAAGACACTCTCTCAGGCATTCTAATGTTGATCGACAAAAAGATATCGAACTTGATTAAGAATTAATTCGCATTAAATGTTAAGCCGCAGAACGAGGAACAGACGCCGTCATCTATGGTGGATTGGTACGTGGAAAGCGAAGCCGCGGACATTCTGGAATGGCTGTGTCGCAAAATGAACAGCGCGATGATCCTGAACATGGAGAGCAGTATTTGTTCCAAATAAAAGATTCTTTCAAACACGCTAACGAGATCGTTGTAATAAAGAGAAATCAGAGAGCGAAGAACAGAGAGGATAAAAAGAAGATAAGTGTATCTATGTTTAGTTGGGCGTAATAAAAATCTGTACGGTGAACGCAAAAAAAAGAAAAAACCACGTCTTTCTCTCTAATGCCCTACACTTTTTTATTATTATCATTATCATTGTTAATCTTGTCAAAGTCAGATCGCATCTTCGTCTTGGATAAAGTACGTCTAGTTTATTTCATAATTTATTTACAAAAAGTCTTAGTAAATTACACTTACAGGCATCTCCACTCGAACTAAAGTAAATAATTTAAGAACTACATGTATTTAGATATCTATAGAATAGGATACTTTGGGGTCGGGGAGAAGCTGGGACCAGGGAAAGTGTTCTGTTTAACTTATACTCAATACGCTTCTAAATCGTATCTCCGCGAAGAAATCGATTTCGTTTTTTTTTTTTCAACGGCTACATGTCGCGTGTGACAACTAAAAATCTCATTCCATCCCTCTTTAAGATTCACTCCTACGAAATGAGGAATTGTTACCAGTGGAAGGTGTGCGACGACGAGTTCGAGCGCGTCATTCAGTTTTTTTTTCCTTTTCCTCCTTTTTTTCCTTTTGCAACTGTTGCGTAGACGTATGTGAGAGTGGGATTTTACAATTAGGTAAATGTATGTATCGTAAGAATCGTCAAAATATGTGCAAGCTGACAATCGGTATTTGTTAGTTTTACAATAACGCATGCGCGCTTTGAAAAAGCATAAAATCTTGATTATAAATATATTCCCATTAGAATCGTTTAATGGCACGATCGAGCTTAAATTTAAAAATCCTCTTCTTTTTTTCATCTTTTTAATATATTCGTTTCTACATTATCGCCCAGAAACAGTTTCATGTGCTTCTGCAATGTCGATTTTTTTCCTTTATCTTCCGCCCTTTTCCTCCGCCGCTTCTTCGTCTTTTTCTTTCTTTTTTTTGTTATCACAACGGCGTTTTTTTAATTACGTTTATAAATATGTGTATTTATAAACGTAATAAACGTAACGAGAAGACTGCAGTTAGATTCACTCTACCCTTTAAATCTCTCTTTGAAAATAAAAGCCATTTAAAAAAAAAGGAAAAGAAAAGAAAAAAAGAAATTAGAATTCACAGAAATCTATCGATTGAAGTGTAATTCCTATAAAATTAGCAATGATCTGAGTAATTACTTAAATTAATTAGTTACTTAGCTCCACAAGCTTTGTGTTTTCTTCTTTTCACAGACACTATCCCCAACCCTTTTTCCACCAGCACCCCCATCCTTCGTACACACAGACGCACGCACACACACGCACATCCGCACATTTTTTTTCCCTCGTCTAATGTCATCTTTTACATTAATATACGCGCACACTCGGGCGGACTCGCCGAAGCGTATGCACGCATCGCAATCACGCCTATTACATACACGCTTCGCATGCACGTTTCTCATTCGTTCTCATTCACATATATATAGGCGACATATATCTGTCCTCTCTACTTTTTTTTTCTTTCTTCCTTTCTCCTCCTCTATGATTCCTTTCCTCTGTCTTGCTTCTCTCTCTTTCTCTCTCTTTTTTTCTCTCAGTCTCACATATAATACATACATACAACACATACATGCAACTCATTCAAGTCCCGCAAGCATGCATGAATGCTTCCTCGCATTTTCTTCTCGCTTTCGCACATGCTTTCTTTCTCTCGCTCTCTCTCTCTCTCGCTCTCTTCTCTCTCTCTCTTTCTCTCTCCCTGCTCCTCTCTCTTCTCATTCAGCAGCTTTTATCACACGTCATATTATTTTTTTCTCTTCTAGCAATGTCTTTCTTCAGTTCTAGTTCTGCCTGTGCTTCTAAAGTCGAGACTTCTTGCGGTCCTACGACCGCAAACGTATATTTGCGCCACCGTAGCCGTAGCACAAAAATCGAATAAGATTCAATGGAAGTGTGTGTTATCTACAAAATATCTTAATTACTCGCTAATTACAGCACAAAACATGCAAATATAAAAATTTGCATTATATTATCGTTTAATATTTATATATAATCATCCGATATATCGTTTCACATCGCACCGTTAAGGTTCGCCAACATACTTCGTGGTATATATATTATTATGCAGTTGACCGTTGTCTCTTGAAAGTCCGTTTTTTTACTGCGTATATATGTGTGTGTGTGTATATACGTTGCGCTTGCACGCTAGTGTAATGTATATGTTGAGTGCACGCGTGTGTGTATGTGTGTGTATGTTCTCTATGTGTGTACGTGTATTTTGTGTGTGAGTGTGTGTGTGTATATGTGTGTGCTTTGGGGTATGGGATGTGTGCCTGTGTTGTTTAAAAGGATCCGTGTGTACGTGTGTTTCCTATGTGTATATATCTTTTTCTTTCATTAACTATGAAATATCTTACACTATCGATATTATTCCAATTCACGAAGGGGAAGGTATACCGATGAGCGGAGATCGCATCGGGTATACCTACACGCTAACACCGATAATTAACTTTCTTATTTTCTGTTTAATCGATATAAAACTACAATTGCGCTGCCATGGCTCTCATCAGCACTTTTGTTCCTTCACTCTCACGCGCTGTCTCTCGTCCCGCGCGCGTCTTTCTCTCTCTCTCTCTCTCTCTCTTTCTCTCTTTGTCCCCCAACCCTTCCCCCCCTTTGTCTCTCTGTCAAATATATCCCTCTCCCTCACTATCTCCCGCTTTCGCCCTTTCGCTTTTAATGCACTAACAGCCGTCCATACACAACGTATATACCAACGTCGTCGTCATCATCATTGTCGAGTGCGTCCTTACTCATCGTCGTCGGCACCGTATCATAAACGCGAGTCCGCAATCAAGTGTCTCAGACGACATAGAGTTACGTGCCCCTCGAACACTGGAACAACACACGCGCGACTATCGCGGCCACTTGCTGATCTAAGATCTGGCTCATCACCAAGGCGAGCAGACGGGACTCGTGCTGCAGGAGGAGCGTTCGGTTGTCCGGATGCCTGGCGAGGTTGAGCAGCGTACCAGCCGCGCGTCGTAGCATATCAAGGCTCGTACCCATCGACTCGGGATTGTCGCGCAGCGCCGCGAGACCGTGCTGATTCGCGACCCCGAGAGCGCTCGATTCCGCCTGCTCGATGAACGCGACGAGCAATGCGACGCACGGTGTCTGTAGAGCGATGGTGCGCGCCACGCCGCTGTCCGCAGCGGACAGGAAGTGCAGCAGATTCACGCCGAATTCGCGCAGCACTTGCTCTTCGCTGCGGCAGAGCAGCCTGGTCAGCACGGAGCATAATCTTTGTAATCGGGAGTAGGGTGGCGTCGCCACCACCAGGTCGACGTTGCACTCGGTCACGCATAACTTGCACAGCGCCTCGAGCGCGAGTCTCTGCGGCGACAGCGAAGAGTTCAGCCCGACGGTCGGGAACGGGTCCTGGCCGTGCGCTGCCGGGCACACGGCCCAGTGCAGAAGTCCGTCGAGCACGGGCCGCGAAATCTCCTCCGGGTGCTGGCTGAGGTCCATGTGGCCGGATATGTTCGCGGCCATCACGAGAACGTTCTCCCTTACGTGATGCAGAAAGTCCCACCACCATTCGCTCTCGCCCTGCAGACTGCTGCACGAGTCCGCGAAGTCCGCGTCCTCTTCGCGATCGTAATTGCGCGTCTTTTGCGCCCGCACCGGGTGCTCATGGTGCAGCAGCAGCAGCTTGCCGAGCAGACTGAGAAACGTGACGTTCTTCGCGAACTCCGCCTCGTTGCCGGGGATAAAGGTGAGATTCCTCAAGATCGTTGACAGGCACACGCAGCGACGGGCGAGATTGTCCTGCGTCTCCGTCACCAGATAGAGACTCGCTTCATCCCTCGAGTAGCTCTCGTCCTCGTAGTCGCTTATCCTCCGTCGCTTTAGCGTACCTGCCGGATCTTTTATGTTTAATCTTGGTCCCTCCTTGTCGTCCCTCGTCGTCCCCAGCTCGTGCTCTTCCGTCGCTTCCGTCTTGATCTCGGCCTTGTCTGCGGTGCTGTTGTCCACGTTGCTCGTCGTCGCTGGCGCCGAGTCGTTCAGTCCGTTCTGCGTCGGCAGTGAGTCCTCATCGTTCTTCGACACGTCGCTGCCGAAGTGCTCGTCCATATTATTGTTCGCTTTCGTCGTCTCACTGTCACAATCCTTCTTGAAGCCATCGTTCTTCTTCTCGAACAGTTCTCTCGTGAGATCGTTCATCTCCACGGGCTCCTTCTTGATCCTCGATAACACGTCACTCAGAGTCTTCGTCTTTTTCTTTTTGTCCAACTGTTGCTGTTGTTGTTTACGCTCGCCGCCCTCCTTGCCGGACTGCTTGTCGCCGAGCTCGCCTGACTTGTGAGTGAAATCCGGCGTCTCATTGGCACCGCTGACACTGTCTGCTTTGGCTTCCTCCTTCAAGTCCGTGCTGTCGACTTCCTTCTGCAGCAACGGCGGTTTTTCGTCCCTCAGCAAACGGGCGAAAGGCACCGAGCCTATTTCGGATTGAAAACACGTCGCGATGTATTTGGTCGCGTTCGCATCCACCTGCCAAGGCTCGGTCTCTGACTCGCACTCCTGATGATCCCAAGGTCTTCGGGTGTCCAGAACGAACAGATCGTCGTCCCGCGGAACAATCTTCACGGGGCGACCTCTCCTCGAGAGATACGTATAATTTGGTGTCGACAGCAATTTCATTCGATCTTCAGGATCGATGGGGCGCGTCACCGCGCCGAGATCTACCTCAGGACCATCCGCGGCCTGGCAATAGCGATCGTCATCGCTCACAGACGACTCAAACATGTCGGAGAGCGAACGCGAGAAATGTTCCAGCAGAACGTCCAGTAATCCGGGCAAGTGCGTTAAGCCGAAATAGCTTACCTGCAAGCAAACAATTCATAAATATTATATATCCTTCTATTAGATGAAATATTTTATATTTGATTTTCGCATTTTACAGTTAATTAAATTGTATTTCAAAATAATTGCAGCATGATTTATAAATAAGTTCTAAATGTATTTTATATGTAGTTTATTTTATTCTTCTGTGATAATTAAATTTTATTTTAAAATAATTGCAGCACAAAGGTTTTATAAATAAATTCTATACACTTTTTATTGCACATATATATATCTCTCTCTCTCATCTTTTAAATTTTGCATTTCTCTAGCTATTAGTTTTAACTTTAAGATAATTGAAACAGTGGAAAGGTGAATACTTACGGAAGAATCATCGTATAACAAAATGTTTAATACGTCGAGGGCCCAGCAACTTTCGGCAAGTTGGCCCGATCGCAAAGCCATCATAATGCGCCAAGCTTCTACTGGCGCCACGTCGGCGCGCGCCAGTTTTCGTCGCTTGTACAAAAGAGGCGTGATTGCTTCCACGCTGTCAGGAGGGAATGTCATTTCTCTCTTTGACGTCGGTTGCTGACTGATCATGGGATTCACGAGTTGATTCTGTACAAAGTGAAACTATGATATATCTCATTTCTTTTCATTTGATTATTATCTAAAAGAAAAAACACTTGCTGAGAATTAATGTTAAATCGCGATAAATGCTTGCGGGGATAAACAAATTATGCTAACAGAAGACTGAAAATATACCTGATGACTTCCGGGTGTTGGGTACAAAGGGGACGGTTGATTCGTATAGCGATGATCCCACGGCGGAGGCGCGTGCGCTATAGCGTTTAGCGATGGTTGAGACGGAGACCTGGTTGGCTGTTGGCTGCCCCATTGTTGACTATTAGTCATAGCGCCGACTGCCGGTGCAGCTGGGGCAGGCGTGACGACTTGGGCTCCTTGTTGTGGTTGCGGCTGTGGCGGTGGCTGCGACGGCGATTGCGTCTGCTGGCTCGGGTATTGAACCCTATTATTTCCACTATTACTATTGTACTGATTGGTTGTATTGGGCCATCCTGTAGAAAGAAATTTTTTTTTTTAATTTAAGCGAGATCAAAGTGCTTTAATTTTTGAGTTAAAGCATTTCTTAAGTTTAACCGAGACGTAATGTGCGATTTGTTGAAGGTCTCACCTGGATACGCAGGTCGTTGCTGATTATACTGAGGATACTGTTGGTCTTTGGCAAAGTCTGGATGACGTCTAGGTTGGGTGGGTCCTGGAGGAGGCGGTGGCATGTTTTTGTTGGCCGCCCCACCTCCGGCGTATATTTGAGTTCCACTGGGTGCTCCATATCCGGTCTGTGATGTATAACAGATATTTAGATTGCGTTAATCTCTTTTCGTTAATTCATTTCCTCCTCTTTGCGAACTGAACATTTTTTAAACTTTGGAAAATAACTCGAGCAATAGAAGATTAAATTAGAATTTCTCGTAAACAACGCAGCAAGTATAATTAACGATTATCAAGCGGATATTACTTGTTCCTGTCGATAGTAATCTTGCGGACACGAGTACGACGTCGCGGCTGGCGGTTGCGAGGGCGAGGAAGGCTGGCTGGTCGCCGTTTGCTGCTGCACAGTGGCCGGATGCGCTTGCGGCCCCGATGGATAGTTGTTGGTCCGCGCGACAGTCGGAGGCGTTGCCGTCGGATAACTAGCTGGACCTTGCTGACCGCTGGTGTATCTGTTGTACATGTCTTGTCCAGTGGCGTTGTTCGGCGGCATGTTACCACCAGGATATCCCCTGCACGCGACGAGTGAACATGTGAGTGTAGCAGCAATCGCGAAATGTGAGAAGCGTTCACGGTGGAGCGTTTCTTACCTGTCGACGTCTGGCACGTAAGGGGGATAATGCGATCTGGGCGAGTACGGTTGATTGAACTCCCCTTGCTGAGACAGCGCGTTTCCCTGTGGCCGAATGTACTGCTCCTGCGTATAGTTCTGATAGGAACCTGTGTTCTGGTAACTGCCCTGCTGTATTGCTGAAAACGCATAAGAAAAATCACACGTCTGTTATGATCATATATCTCTCGTCGAAATAGAGACTCTCGAAATCGACGCTAAACAAATCTGAATAAAAGATCATTGATAACGAGCGAGTCTGATATCGATATTTGTGTATTTCCAGACATACCCTGATGGGTGGCGGGTGCGCTACTCTGACTCGGCGGCCTCGGCGGCGGCGGTGTGTAATCTGTCGATGGACCGCCAGGTGTGCCGGTCGCGTAACTACTCTGATAGCTTCCATAGCCATCCATGGAAGTATTGCTCGATCCGGCAGCAGGAAAGGAGTCTTGAGAATTGGAAGAACCTGCAAAGAGCCGTTGTCAAGTTTGTAGAACGAGTCTCTTAATACGGAAAGAAGCTGCGTACAAAAATACAGTACGCGTATAAAATACAATCTTTACCCGGCGATGGTACAGAAGCAGTTCCCTTGGATCCCTTCTTCTTCGAGCCCGCTTCCACTTGATTGATGATGGGCTGCGGATCCACGCCGCCGCGATCGAAATGACACTCGAACGCCAGCAGATGCTTCGTGTAATGCTTGCGCAACGTGTAAGCAGCGCTACTGCTCGCGCCGATGCCCAAAAGACCGGCTATATCCTTCCATGTTTTGTTTTTCGTGACCTACAGGAGAAAATCACGCACGTGTTCTTCACTACGTTCGCGAACATGCGACTTCACGTCGAATCTCACACACAGACAAAAAATCTGGCACGTTCAAATTAAAAAAGAAAAACACAAAATATAATGCGAAAGGCATCGTCGGCGTTCTACAGCTCGACATATCGATTTCAAAAAGAAACAAATTAAAGGATATCGGTACGAATCGGCGAAGTCTCTAAACGCATGCAAATATATAAAAAAAAAAAACAAAAAAAACAAAAAACGAGAGATATACAGAGTACAATCGGAACGAATTACCGTTATCGTTACATTTCGACATTAAAAGTTTATCTTCGCTGTGTGATTATTAGAATAATTCCATATAGCACCAAGGTTTGTAGATCAGGCTGTTTCCATATTCAACTGTTGACTACTTCAAGAAAAGATATGTTAAGCCTTTTTCTTTTCTTTTCTCACGACTTAGATAGAGAATATATAAGAAAGGGATAATACTAATAACAAAAATAGTATATAACTATATGTATATCATGCACAATTCAACATAGATGTAAAAAACAAAGCGTGTTCTGAGGTGTTTCAATGCGAATTGTTTGATTTGGAATTTTTGACTCTTAGATCTCGATGTAAATTTGATCAAAGATTTATCGCATGCTCGATACAAATCTTGGAAAGTACTTTCAAGTACTTTGAGCGATCCAGTACTGACATTGCCGAGCAATTGATGCAAGACACCTCAAAAAATGTACAGTTTTGCGTGTGGAGCAAGTATAAAGAATGCAAAAATACATAAAAACAATACAGAAACTATGTAAGACACCGAGGGCTAGATGGAACTACACTGCACCTTGCATACCTCCATGAAGCCCCCCCTATCCTTCACGTAGAGGTATAGCCGAAACAGATCGAGGGGGTTCTTGGAGATGGTGGGACAACTGGTGATCGGTGTTCTTCGTTCATCCATGAAGTTGACCAGTTTGTCCAGCCAGGTTCTCCGTTCCATCGAGTCATCCATTTCGTATAACTTTGCCAGACTATCTGGCTTCTGAAAGTGGCACAATAATTGCATTTTAGTATACCTTGCAAGATCACGGAGAGCGTTGTAAACATATAAACTTGATAAAATTATTTCGTGTGTTATTGATCTAATTACACTAGAACATAAAACAGTTATTATCCTCAAGTCGCGAACGAGACTCCGATAATTATCGAGCGCATGCACAGACACAATTTCCGACACTCGTTTATCCATTTTCCATTTTGATAAACGTTTCAACTGACACCACTTGTTAACGTATCCTTCGTTACCGTTAGTGAGTCGTGTATGTACCAGGTAAATTCATAAATCGTAACAGAAAGCATTAGTATCTTTTTTTTTTTAAGATTGCAACAGTTATTTTTTCTTCCAAACAAAAAGTACATTTAAATAATTCTTGTCTAATTAAAATAATATTAATTGGCAACTGAATGCGATGTAGCGATGCACATTATGCAACTTAATAATTAGACACATGCGATGATTATTAAGTAAAATATTCTATTATGCGGATAATGTAAATAAGAGGCAAAACTTGTAAAATATTGAGTGCATGAAATAAGCGTATCAGCTAATGTTTTCTCAATGAACTTGTTCACGTCATAGCATTGCCGAAAAAGTTTCCGTAACACTAAATAATCAAACTGCTTGTGCTAATTGCGGCTATCACATTTCTTTCACAGAAATAGTTCATTCGTTCTGCTATTACGTGATATATTCTGTCAAATAAAAATACGTTAGTAGCGATAAATGGCGTATTTTAAAATACTCTGCTAATTAGAGGAAAGGGAGATAATTATAGAAGAACGCAATAAATTAATATACGATATTAAAATAATGGTAAATTGGAATTCATGTCACTTTGATGAATACAGCGTTGTAATCTGCCAGATTAATATGATTATGCGTATGTGCCAAGCAAGAAAAGTTAGTAGGGTAAATATGTCTTAAGCGTACAAGTGCAAGGGGCTATTTTGACAATATAACAAATATTTGTAGTGAAAAAACAATAACCTTAGATCTGTACGGGTCTTGAGGCACATGACTGTTAAACACCTGTAAAATATTAAAATATTGAAGGTTCAAATAATTGCGTTTAACCTTGGAGACGTTGAAAGTCTTTTATGTGAGGTATTCAATTAACTATTAATTTAGTACGTCAGAATGTGCGCCACGTGTGAAACCGCATGCATGTGATATACGTACAGGACTAGCAGGAGTACGCGGCCAACTAGGACTGTTCATGTCAGAATACTCCTCGTGAATCGAATTAATGCTAGCAGCACCCGGAGACGGAACAGTACTCTGTGGTGTCGCGGGATGGCTGTGGTATCCTCCCATCATTTCCTTCCGCACTTTTGGCGTAAATGCTGGATCTTCACCAGAAGCTATTTATGAAATACATTTTATTAATATTATATTCGCACTTTCCAAAGCTTTGCGTCACTAAAACGAGCACAGATTCAAAAGTAACACCAACCAGCCGATGCGTTAGACAACGTTGACTGTTGCGAGCCTTCATCCAGAGACGTACCGTCTGGACCTGTTGTTATTACAGACGTCACAGTACCACTCGAAGTAGATATGACATTTATAGCTGATGTACCTACGCATAAAAACGCACACAACTTCGTTATTCATCTGAGCGGAAAAATAATAATTAAAAAAATGTACTCCGGATATATTCGCTCACCTGAAGCGGTCGTGGTTATACCGCTGTCGTTGGAAGTCTCAGCTGTGAGATCAGCGGAATTGTGGCTGGTTGGCGTCGGTGCCGACGCAGGATGCGAGTTTGGTGTGGTGCTCGGCGGCGGCATCGGGCTGCCCTCGTGATTCAGCGGCGGAGTGGCCGCCGGGGTGTGCAAGTGCGATACCGCCGAGCTGGTAGGCGGTGGTGGCTGATTGCTTATGTGATTGGGAGACGGCGGTGGCGGGCCCATAGAGCTCGCCGGCGGTCCCATATTACCGATAACGGGCACCCCCGGTGCGCCAGGCGGCACCATCGCGGTCGTGCCGCTGCCACCGTAAACCTGCGGCGGTCCTGGACTCGGCGGCATTCCCGGCGGTACACTGTTGAAGCCCATTTTATGCTGGGGAAAAACAAAAAAAAACAATGGAAATTATTCATCGACGATCGACGTTGATGTATCGTCGTATTATCGACCGAGATCGTTTATTACCGTGTACGGCGGGTATTGTACCATATTGTTGGGTCTGTTGGGAGGTTGATACTGATTATTGGGCGGTGGTTGTGAGTTTGCGGGCGTCGGATACCCCTGCGGAAACTGCATGTGAGGACGCGGCGGTGGATAGGTGGACTGCGCGTGATAACCCCCAGGCTGACCCGCAGCCGTCCCACCAGCTGCATAGCCCATCCCACCACCCATTGGGCTGATTCCACCGAGAGCCGTCGAACCAGGTCCCGGTTGCACTACGCCAGGACCGGTGCTGTTCATTTTGTAACTGTGCATGTGCGGTGAAGGACCCAATGGCTGCTGGTATGCTCCTGTGACCAATTATTATTTTTATGATTATTATCGTCTTTGACACAGAAGTTGCGGTAAAGATGGATAAATTTCACAAGAACGAGTGAAAGAGAGAAGTGAAAATTGAACCTTGAGTGGTCATAGGAGAGTGACTCATGCGTGGTGCTGGCCCACTACCATCCGACTGACTACTCGACGGACGTGGAGGCATCTGAACGTTTTGTTGGCCTGCACATTCAAGAATACATTTTCAAATAGACGCACTGATATCGATGTAGAAAGAGAAAGAGAAAGATGACGATAGATGAACTCTTACATAACGCTCATGCTACAATATCACTATTAAGAACACCAATGTAATTTACTTAGACACATTAAACGTGATATGCAGGACATCTCAGATGTGTTTGTTACTTCTTTCTTTGCATATTTTTTTTTTCTTTTTTTTTCAAGACTGTTTCTCTTTACAAATTAATTTAAGATTTATCATAGAATTTGTGGTTAAGATAATATTTTTGCAATTTTGAGATATCCTGCATAATACAATCCGCGATTATGACTTTTACTACTAAATACAAATGCAAGTGAAAAGAGAGACAGACGTAAAAAAGACCGACCAACAGCAGGGGACATCGAGCGAGAACCTGTGGATCCTGTAGGTGACGGGGTGGGTCTCATCCCCTGAGAATTTGGTGTCCCTGGGCAAGCTGGTCCGTTCGAACTGTCATTACTATTCTGTCCTGATAATTCCTGCAATAGAAATAAGATTTGTGCAATAAGTATGACAATTTCTTTCGTTCCTTGGAAGCATAAAAAAAAATGAATCATACAATTGGTTATATAAATAGGGAAGTATGCTTATTTTTTACTCAAAAAAAATTTCACTATTGAATAAGCATATTATACATCATTAATGCATCCGAATGTGTATTGTAGTAGTCGAACGTGGCAAACCATGTTTTTTATGACAATAAACAGATTGAATGTGTGCGCGATAAATTTAAACAGCTGATAAGGATATAAATTTTGGAAGAGTATGACAGCATTGTGCTTACATCTTACAAACGCGACTTTTGCGCAATTATTCCGAATTGATACATCGTGCAGTTAGTGTACGAATATCATCCGTAGTGATTCAAAGTAGGTCAACGCTACGGCAAATGTTTGCTTTGAAATTATCACAAAAATTCAAACACTGTTACGGCGTACACAAGAGACACTCTTAACATAAACAGTTCGCAATTACGATCCGCACGGGACACACAGATCGGAGTTCGGTGAGAAATATTATCGAGAAATCCACGAGAATCACTCGAGCCTTTCGATCCCGCGTTCGTGAAACGGGACACACTCTCACGATGAGCGTGGACACGCGTGAGTCCGCTTCGTGTTCATTGTTACACACTGACTGCTGCTGCTGCAGCAGCAGCGGTAACAGCGACTCGGTCAGCGCGATTCGCGCCGCCTTCGTGGCCACGACGAACGCGATGCGTCGATTCGCGAACGGGTGTGCTGACTCTCCACGTTCTGCGCTGGGGAACGGCGAATAATCGCGTGTTCCTCGTCTTAAAAATCAATCGACGCCGATACGACGGGCGTTCGGAGCGGCGCGAAGCGAAGCGAGGTTGCCAGCGGTGGCGATGTCGCCCATATTATTGGAGTCCGTCGCGCGCGCGGCGGTTAATATCGCACAAAAACGTTCTTGTCACACTATTCCGTGTGCTGCGAGCGATGGTAGGCGTAACGTCGCGCTCGTGATCGCCGTCGTCGTCCCCGTCGTCGTTGCCGTTGTCGTCGCAACGATGGCACGCGGCGTCGTTCTCGGCCACAGTTCACGTAGCACACAACACCGTGTATATCCCCGGTCGAAATCGCGTATGCATGTGCCCGCGTGTATACGCACTTCGTACGGATCGTCCGTCACAACGAGCATCGCAACGAGCGGCTGCTGCGTGTGTGTGAATACGCGCGCGAGTATGCGTTCGCTTATTCCTCCTCTATGTATGTGTGCGTTGCGGAGGAGGGATAGGGGGAAGGGGAAAGAGAGTGGAACAGAGACGAGGATAGATATAGCACTCGAGAGAAGGGAGAGAGAGAGAGAGAGAGAGAGGAGGGAGAGAGATACACAAGGGTAGGGATAGAGTGAGAAGAGAGAGATGGGGTTAGGATCGGAGAGAGGGAGATGGAGATAGAGAAAGAGGCAAGGTGAGGCGGAGAGAGCGGAGCGAGGCCGAGAGGAACGAAAGAAAATTCAGGAACATCATTACACCTACCAAGCCGCGTATAGTTGGTCCGTGCGGATGGCGATTAAACACTTCCTCGGGCGTACGAGCGAACGTACGGTACATAGGCCGTCCGGCACAAGGACTCTCGGCATGACGCGGCGAGAGATCGAAGGAGAGGCGTTACCCGGCTCTCCGCTTAAAGCACGACGAGTAGCAACCGGACATAGAGCGAGCGAGCGTGCGAGAGAGAGAGAGAGAGAGAGAGAAAGAGAGAGGGAGAGAGAGAGAGAAAGAGAGAAGAAGAGAAGCGGAAACGTAGTTGTTTCGTTAGTTGAGTTTTCACATGTTTGCCGAGCTACGACGCGGAGTAATGCACGCGAAAAGAGGGCGAGGAGCGAGCGAAATTTTCTCTCGGAGTATCTCAGGAGGCGCCGCGAGCAAGAATTATCAGATCAGTGCTGCTGGCGTACCAGTTAAACGCGAGCATTATATTCCTCGTAACATCGGCCGTGTTGTCGTATGCCGGACGCTCTATTCCGCCGCCAACGTCGCCGTCGCCGCCGTCGTTGTTGCTGTCGCTCCGCCGTCGCACGCGTGCCACCTCGCTCTCCTCGAGCGTCGCATGTTGTGTCAATAAGTCTGCCAAAGAGCTCCGTGTCACGGGACGAGGCTGGTGCAACTTCGGAGGGGCACGTAGGGATTACGTAGTATAATATCGCGCGCGTCGTCGTCGCTGTCCTCGTGTTCGTACGTGCGTGTCTGCCTGCCCGCCTGCGTGATCGCCTGTCTGCTTGCTTGCCTGCTGCGTGCGTGCGTGCGTGCGCGCGCGCGCGTTTACACGCGTCAAGCAGGTTATAGTCCGTGTTCGGGGTCGAAAATGAGTAGTATAACGTTCGCGTTATGACAACGAGACGTCGCGTTCAGCGAAAAATTATTCCTTTTATCGGGGTCGCTCGTCGTTGTGACTTCGGTTTACAGATTTCGCGTCTAGCTGGCTGCTTGGCTGGCTCCGTTGCTTGTTGGAGGGCGTTCTTTCGTGGCGCGGCAAGCGTCGGTTCGGCGTCGCTCGGTCGTTTTCGCCGAGCCTCGACCGTATGCCAGCGAATCGTTCCCAAAAGCCTGCTGACTCTCTGTCTCGGGAACTCTATCGAAGCCGATATTCTCATAGCTAGATTATGTTGAAATATTATTCTGTCGCATAGGTTGAGTTTCGATGAAAAATAAAAAAACCCTAAACCTTCTTTTGTGTCTGCGTCTTCTTTTACGCGATGTTTACCCTTGAATCTAGTTTCAAGATCGTAAATGTCTAGCAGCATGAAGTTGACTTCATCGTTCCGAATCCATTGCGATTCATCGAACGTACACACACACGCAGATCGTCTGTGTCGCATGTTTCAGTTCGTACTCACACACATATGCGACGTTCGCGGCGCGGTAAGCGGTCGGCGAGCGTCGTGGCTACTTCGGCACTTTTCGATCGGCGAATTCATGTGCCCCAGTAAAACCTAGGCACTGAGACTCTATACGATTTCGCCGTGTTCTACACAAAATAAACGTTGCTCATATTCCAATAAATCTTTCTAAAAAAATATACAATGCCATTTAAACTGGAGTATCAATAAAGATTCACATATGCATATAAATAAAATGCAGCGAATCTAAAAGCTAATAATAAAGGTAAAAATGTTGACATAATCGTTACGTTTGAGGTTGTAAACATTATTATTCAGCGCTTATTTAACTCAGAAATTAAAAAAATCGCAAGTTTTATATAAAATGGACAATATTTAGATATTTCGCGTTAAATCAATCAATGTGGGAGACAAATGTTTGTCTTTATATAGAGAGAATTCATCAACTTTACTTTTTTATAACCTAAAATATTTATAACCTAAAAATTGAAAGTTATTGCTCCGTTTTTAATGCGTTTCAGGTGATCCCGAATAGTCTCACGGTAAGATTAAATGCAATCACTAATCGCAAGTATTCTTGGCTCATCTTTTAACATCTGCCTTTCGAGCTTTAATTCGTAATATTTGTTATTTGCAGTTTAATTGATCCAAACTAGCATGAATCGAAAACGCTGTTTGATTCATACAACAATCTATTGTCAGCGAAGTCGCGGCGTCCACGAACGTGTTTACGTTATCGGATGACTGAAGTTTAATCCGTTCGATACACGCGCTGAACTTGAGCGATACGCGACGTGAGTGTGTTAGAGAGGTCCGATCGGTATCTCTCTCGGGCCAGTCAAACACAGCACGGAGATGTGCGTGAATGAAAACGTAAATAACATGGGCGCGCGAACCGCACGTATTTACCCATGTTCTCGAGAGAGTGCAAGATCGCGCGGATTACATAATATTATTTTTATCTGCCGGCAATGTTATTATCCCGCCGATTGCGACAATAAATGGAGTCCGAGGTTCATTCAACTCCGGAATCTATCAGGAGAGAAAGAGAGAGAGAAGAGAAAGTGTGTAGCGAAGAGCCAATTATCGTATGCGATAAATTTGCCGATTCCAGTTTGAGATTCTTATCTTTATTCCGTGACGTGTAAAAGATTCTTCTTTTATTTATGACAGGAAATTGAACCCAGGCCGAGATAACAACGGCATCGATACGCGGTATCGTTCGCGGGACGAGATCACCTGTAGCAGACTAAATACCATGTGTTCCCATCAGACGTGTTTACATTGGACCGTCTGCTACTATTCGTTTACGATTACTTAGTTCCGTGTAGCCGCGTGCGCCTCCACGTACTCGCAGGTCGTTCTCTCGCTGCCGATACATCGACGTTTATTGACCGTATACCGTATACCGCGTGACCGTACGTAAAGTCCCTTTTTACCGTTCATAGTTCGTTTGTACTATCGCGAGAATCTATGCGAATATTTCTCGCTATTACTTCCTCAAGAGCCTACAATTTAACGCTCCGCCCTTTTCTAATTCCAGCAATTTCGTAATTCGAAAATGAGAGAAAGAAAATCGTGCAATTTTTCCGTTATACGATCGTAATTCAAACTCCAAATTTTCCATTCTTGAAAAATATATGTAATAACTTTATTCTCATCCCAGTTTACCTAATAAAGAACAAAATTGTGATTAAAAATTGACGACTTTCGTGAAATTTGTAAAAAACTTTCCAGCATTTGATATTTTACAAATTAATGTCAAAATTAATTGCGAAACAGATTGTTCCCCTTGCGGCTTCCTTATTATTTTGCAACGCAGTAAATCAACGTGAGAGAGCATAGAATAACATGGCGGGTTTCGCCGTGCAACGGCACCGAGAGCGCATGTACTCCGCGAACGATTCGTGCGGTTAACTTAAAGATCGCGAGCATTGCCGCCGTCGGTGGCCGAGCCAACGTGCCCGACGGTATCCTATTCCCCTTGGGCATGGCGCATCTCGCGGGACATTATCTCGAGTAGGAGAGTATCTCGAGGTGGAGAGAAGCTGGGACCCGCTCGATGCCGCAACGACGGCGTCCGGAAGCTCCGGAGTACGGGCGTGGTAAATCCTGCAAATAATCCCGGCGTCGCGCCGCGAGCTCCTCGCGTTCATATCCGGATCCATGTTCTTTCGTTCGTACGTTCCGTGGAAAATTCACGTAGCAGTACATTTCGATTGCGTTTCGACGCCTCGAAGCCGCGCCGTGGGAGCGCAAGAAGTTCGATAGCGTGTCGCAGAGTGACAGTCGCATGATCCGGCGAACCGAATATAGCCGAGCGCGACACAAAACGTCACGTCGTGCACCGAGAGAGTGGCTTTCCACTCGATATCACTGTCACTCATCGCAGCCAATCGAATCGTTACCACGTCCGGTTTTTGCTTTCGCTCCCCCTGTGTATCTCTCATCTCGTTTATATACTGTACTTTATACAAATTGATTTTGAAAGTTTTATGGCATTTTACCGTCGGTGGTAAACTGAGATGACAAGCATCCTTTAGATGTG